ATTTCCCCAGGTTACCTTCCCAGGTTGATGAGCCCCATCTGCCTCTCACTTCCCTCTACACCACATGCAGAAACTGTATTCTTGACCATTGGACCCACTATTGGTCTTGTTCGCTCAATCTGCCAGAGCCTGTCTTCACAGGCAAGGGAAGTCCCTAACTCACCGAGGGTTTGAGACCCAACGGCTACTCTCCCCTAGTTTAGCTGGCCAGCTGAAGCTGTTCCCAAGGTGTGGCTGTTGTTGCATGCTGACAGCTTCTAGAAACTACAGGGAAGAGCTGAGTGCAGGGGACCAAAGGCAGACAGACTATCCCAGAAGGAACACGATGATGTCACCCACCAGAAGTACTGCCCCTCCCCTAACACCCCCCACCCCTTTTATGTATGTTGCTGTTTAGTTGTTTAGTCGTGTCTGACTCTTCGTGACCCCATGGACCAGAGCACGCCAGGCACTCCTGTCTTCCACTGCCTCCTGCAGTTTGGTCAAACTCATGCTGGTAGTTTCGACCACACTGTCCAATAAGCTTCATAAAAACGTAACAAAAGTCCATGTAATCCACCATGGTTTCCGCCTCCGTTGTTGATATACGTGAGGCTTATAAATGTTTAAGATATGCTGTGCCGCGAGATGGGAAACAAGATTACATAATTTGGGCATGACTTTTGTTTTGTTTCTGAAGGAATTTGGAGGAAATGCCAACTCCGATTAACATTCTAAGCTACTTTACGTTCCACAAGTACACCAGTGAGATTCTTGTTGTGAATGAGTTTTCTGAATTAAAATTTACATGTGGTAAGTACTAAAAAGAAAACACAACACCTCCAATTCTATTTATATGTTTTATTCATAAGATTTATATCCTGCCCTTCATCAGAAATTATCTCAGGCTGAATTGCAACTATTAAAAAAAAAAATCCAGCGACCCACAATAGACCAACAACATGCAGTGGAAGTTATCCAAAGCAATCCATACATCTATCCCATAAAACGAGCTCAGCTGGATCTGTCCAAATGCTCAATTAGTCCAGGATACTGTTTTCACAGTGGCTGACGATGAACAGCCATAGCTAGTGAACAAGCCAGAGGTGGGAAAAGCCAATTTTTGCCACTGAGGTCATCTGGGCTTCCAGTAACAGAGGAGAAACCAGAAAAGCTATTTACCCTGATCCAGCAAGGGAGATGAAGATGAAGACTAAATTTGTTACCGGCCAGGGCAGGAAACAACTATTTAAAATTCAGAATTAAAACAGATAAGAGTCACAGGAACAGTGTGAGTCCCAAAAACACATATATCAGGTGTCAAAGGCCAGGGGAAAGAGGTGTGTTGCATTTGCAGAAAACTGTATACTGTAGTGAAGAAGCCAAGTGCACATCTGCAAACACACCATGTTTTCAACTAGTCAACACCAGGCACAAGTGCTGGGAACTCAAATTGTTCTCAAAGCGCTGCAAAAGGCTTGAACACATCAGCTACCCAAAATCTAGTTTGTTCTCAGGCAGGAGTTAGAAACAGGGGGCAGAAACCTGTTGGCTACTGCAACTGTGCTTTATTTTTGTTTCTTGGGCTAAAGAAAGTAACTCCATTCGGAACATGTGATTTATAAAATGTAGGAAAAGCAAATGTGGGAGAAACTAAGACAATGGCCTGGTTTGGCAGTAAGGTAAGCCAAACTATGGTTTAGTAAGCCTGTGTGAATGTGCAACCTCCTGGAGAGAAGCTCACCCACAGCCACTGTGAGTACAGCTCCACTGCCCTGAGCCAGGCCAAAGTTTGGCCTAGCATGCTGCTCCAGCAGGGATTCCTGGTTAAACTTTCTCCACACTAACCATGAGCTATAGCCAAGTTACTATTGAGAACCAGCTGATCCTGAAAGGACAGGTGTGCTTCCTAGAAGTCTAGAGCTTTCCATATGGACATCTCAGCAGAGACCCTGAAGAAGCGCTTTCAGCTACTTGTTGTTGTTTTTTTTTTTAAAAAAAGATATTTATTGAGATTTTAAACAGTAAAACAAACTTCACAATCAAACCAGAAAAGAAAAAAACATTATCACAATCAAATACAAACAGAAAAATACAGTAAAAAGCATAAAAAGGTAGAAGAGAAAAAAGAAAAAACATAAAAAAGGCATAAAAATCCAATTTTTTGCATATTGTTTTTATAACCCTCTTTCCTGACTTCCTCACATCTCCCTTTTCTGTGTTCCCTTTTACACAATCATATTCAGCAGTGCCTTACCCTCTTTCAAATCTTGTTCTATATTATACATTTCAACCTATTATGTCTCCAATTTTTCCCTTTATATCATTTTATTTAAATCTGACATGTTATTCTAGCTTTTTCACCCTTATTCTTTTAAAACATTTTTACATATTCCTTTCAACTATGTCACTAATGCCATATTGTCCTTGTATCCTGCATCATTTTAACATTCAAACATTTTACAATGTTTTTGCAAGTAGTCTTTAAACTTCTTCCAGTCCTCTTCCACTAACTCTTCTCCCAGGTCTCGGATTCTGCCAGTCATTTCTGCCAATTCCATGTAGTCTATCACTTGCACCTGCCATTCTTCCAGAGTGGGCAAATCTTGTGTCTTCCAGTATTTTGCGATGAGTATTCTTGCTGCTGTTGTTGCATACATAAAGAAAGTTCTGTCCTTCTTTGTCACCATTTGGCCGACAATGCCCAGGAGGAAGGCCTCTGGTTTCTTAGGGAAGGTATATTTAAATACCTTTTTCAATTCATTATAGATCATTTCCCAGAAAGCCTTGACCTTTGGGCACGCCCACCAAAGGTGAAAGAATGTTCCCTCAGTTTCTTTACATTTCCAACATTTATTATCAGGCAAATGATATACTTTTGCAAGCTTGACTGGGGTCATGTACCACCTATATATCATTTTCATAATATTTTCTTTTAAGGCATTACATGCCGTAAATTTCACACCAGTGGTCCATAACCGTTCCCAGTCAGCAAACATAATGTTATGACCAATGTCTTGCGCCCACTTAATCATAGCTGATTTGACCGTTTCATCCTGAGTGTTCCATTTTAACAGCAAGTTATACATTCTTGAAAGTACCTTAGTTTTAGGTTCTAACAATTCTGTTTCTAATTTCGATTTTTCCACCTGGAAGCCTATTTTTTTATCCATATTAAAAACCTCTCTAATTTGATAATAATGTAGCCAATCTCGCACTTTATCTTTTAGTTTCTCAAAACTCTGCAATCTCAATGTGTCTCCATTTTGTTCTAATATCTCCCAATATTTCGGCCACTTGGCCTCCATATTAAGTCTTTTCAGAGCCTTAGCTTCCATGGGTGACAGCCACCTTGGGGTCTTGTTTTCTAATAAATCTTTATATCTTGTCCAGACATTAAACACCGCTTTCCTGACAATATGGTTCTTGAATGCTTTATGAGCTTTAACCTTGTCGTACCACAGATATGCATGCCACCCAAACGCATTGTTAAACCCTTCCAATTCCAAAATGTCAGTGTTCTCAAGAAGTAGCCAGTCTTTCAACCAGCAGAATGCTGCTGATTCATAATACAACTTCATGTCTGGCAGGGCAAATCCCCCTCTTTCTTTAGCATCAGTCAATATTTTAAATTTTATTCTGGGCTTTTTGCCCTGCCAGACAAATTTAGAAATATCTCTCTGCCACTTCTTGAAACAATCCATCCTGTCCACAATCTGCAAAGTTTGAAACAAAAACAGCATTTTTGGCAATACATTCATCTTTATGGCAGCAATTCGACCCAACAAGGAAAGCTTCAATTTTGACCAAATTTCTAAATCTTTTTTAACTTCCGACCAACATTTTTCGTAATTATCTTTAAATAAATTCAAGTTTTTAGCCGTCATGTTAATCCCTAGGTATTTCACTTTCTTAACCACATTTAAATCTGTCTCCTTCTGAAACCTTTCTTTTTCCATAGTTGTCAATTTTTTTCCCCAAAACCTTAGTTTTTTGCTTGTTTAATTTAAATCCTGCCACCTGACCAAATTCTTGAATCAGTTCTAGAACCCTTTTCGTACTAGATTCTGGCTCCTGTAATGTCAAAACCAGGTCATCTGCAAAGGCCTTGAGTTTATATTGTTTAGCTCCGACCTGAATTCCTTTAATCAACCGGTCTCTTCTAATCATATTCAAGAGCACCTCCAGGACCGAAATAAATAGCAATGGAGAGATAGGGCGAAGCGCTTTCAGCTACTTGGGCCAGTGGGACAAATCACCTTGAGAAGGGGTGGGATGGATTTAAATCTTGCCATAGCTGTAGCCACTGGCCCCTAACCAAGTGGTCAAGCTTTCTGAGAATGTAAACGTCTCCTTTTAGAATCTTCAAACCAACACTGTAATCTGAAAACCTTTCTTTTGGTAGGTCACTTCAACGATTCCACTGCGGCTGGGGCTCCCTGTCCATTCTCCCAAGGGGCTCAGGTCATTGAAATGATGTTTCCTGGTGCAGCATCCCGATTCGCATCAGACTTTTTAATATTATATGCCTTTGTCCCAGCAGCCATAATTCTAGCAATTATCAGTTTTAAAATAAGAGATCAAATTATTGCCAGGAAATAGATGTGACACTAAATGGTCTATATGCTATTTCACTCTTGCAGTGTGTGAAAGTACAGCGTGAACTATGAAATCTAAACCATTCCCCGTTATTTACTTTTAGTTCTTCGGTGCTAATATTATGATAAACAAAAGCAGCTAATCCAGCTGTATCTCTTGCAAATTCAACTGCCAGGGCTGCATGAACCGCACCCTCTTAAAGAAAAGCAACAGTCATATATTGCCTCTTAGGTATTCAGGAGGATTTAGTTTTTCCACCCGAAACCCAGTTCGGTCCGAACAGCTGACTGGTGCAGTTATTTCTGTCCCCACCCCCCACGCCAGACTGATTCTTTTCCTCTCCACATTGTGTTTGAGCAAATTATTTCAGGTGGGGGGGATTCTTTTGTATAACGTCTTTATTTTAAAAATGACCAACTGCATTCGTTTGTGGTAATGTTTAAAAGGCTCAAAATAGCAATTTACAAGTGTCATACAAAAATAGAAATTTCCTTTGCATTTTCCTGTTTAAGATCATATAGTTTTGCTGAATACTTCAATTCAAACAAGCAAACAAAAAATTCATAAAGAATTTGTGATGGTTAAAAACTATAGTCCAACAGCCCAAACCTTCCAATAGTCTAAGTAGAAATGCAACTTTTATCATATTATGCTGGCAAAATACAGAAAATTGTGTCTTAACTGGAGGGGGGGAAATCTCACAATCTCACACTGACTTTAATATGCTGCAGCAAAGGTGAAACTGAGGATCAGGGCATCGACCTGCTGTTAAGATTAATGTTCAGAATGTCCTTTGAACTTTTCACAAACCAGTTATCTGATGTTAAATGACACAGAATGTGTCTGCTTTTCTTCTTCAAACGTTTTGCAACATCTGAGTCATCTCTTACTGAGTTTAACTAAGAGAAGTGATTCTGGCACAATCTACTATACTGATCATAAACAACAATGACCATAATTATTATTAAGTATTTATGATGGGGGTTTTTACGCATTTTACAAGTGTACAAAACATAATGACTCAAATGTATGAAATGCAGCTTCAAATCTGGTTGAGACATACTTCTCAGTCAAGAATCAAACTCCATTTCTTTCCAGGTTTTAGAGGCATTTCTTTTGTACTGTTCTAGTTCCTAAAATGGAAAGATATATTGAAACAGTTTTTAATGTTTAGTTTTTTGTAAGTTAGTTTTGAGTTTCATTTTTGAAAAAAAAGCTTCTAATAAATGTAATAAATAATAATATCCCCCATGATATAAGCAACTGCATGTTCAATTTTAATGTGAGAACATTAAGTATTATTCTGCAATATATTGCAAATTTTGGATCTCATCCAGTCTCTGCTATCATTACTATCATCACTGCATATAAATCAGTATGCATAAAAATAAAATGAAAGACATAAAAGATGGCATTTTAGAAACAGTGTATGCAAGATAAGCCCAAACACCCAGCGGGGTCTAAACTGCATGGAATGTATCAGCGGTATCTATATATCTTAATTATGAATGAGTTGTAAAAGAAATCCAGATTGTGGCACACAGCGAATTAGCCATGATTAAAGCAGCTCTCATGTATGCCTTTCATAACACTAAACAAATGGCAGTTTATCTTTTTATGTCATGCTGTATATGCCATTCTAATACTGAGATCCACCGCAAAATTACTGAAGTCCATTATTCTAATTGCACCCGTATCATTTTACTTTTCATTATCTACTACTTGTGGTTTCAAAGAGCAATTATCCAGCTGCTACTAAACTAAGAAATGATGTTCATTTGCTCCCTCAAGTGCAGCCTAGGGGTGCAGATCTCCCAAGTGACCAGCAACACAAGTGTTTGCTAAGTGGGAGCTCTATCTTCAAATGCATGTAGCTAAGAACACCATATATTCCAGGGGACAAACCAACCAGTCTTTGCTTCCATATGTTGCTTGGGATCTTCCAAAGGCATCTGACTAAAACCTGCTAGAAACTGGACCCCTTGATGTGATCTGCTAGATTATGAGCGCAGTCTAGAGTACCCCCTGTGCCGCAGGGATGCTTTGCATGCTGCCGCAAGTATCTTTCCTATAGGCGTAGCAGTATGCATCACTCTTTAAGGGTTGGGGAAAGTGTTGGGACTCAGTTTTTCCTGTCCAAAGTGGATTTGGCAGAGCTGAGGACTCTTGCAGTGCTAACAGGAGCACTAGCACAGATGTCGAGGTGGGTTTTTCTTCTGCACAACACCATTTGGCTCACGTATCCAGAAATCTCCACAAGTCTTCTTTCACGGTGATTTGCCCTTGCTGAATTAGGACACAACATTTTCTTCGTGTGAATGGATAGCAGAAAGGTACTTACCACCACCACTTACAAAAACCACATACTTTATGTTTCTGGCAAATCCGACTTCTATTTCTTTTATAATTTTGGAAAACATTTTGATCAGTGTGGGCCGCGTTGTATGGCATCAGAACAAAAAGTGAAAATTGTTGTCACAATCATGGCCTTTTCATCGCACCTAACTTCATTTTTAGTTAGCTTACATCAGCACCCGTATTCTTTTTGTAATTTTGCACAACTTGGCAGAGGCCTCATTTTTTATTGGGATGGCTAGCTGACAGAAGTGTCTTTAGAAGTAGTGAATGCTTGATATTTTATAAGGTTCTGAATTGTTCTTATAAGTTGTAAGCTGCCGTGGCATAGTATATTTTAAAAGAAGTGCCATACGGATTTATTAAATAAACATAATTTCTGAACTGCATTGTGCTCATTTCTAATTCTTCTTGTGCATCTGACTAGTAGTTCCAGTCATTCAATCCATATACAGTATTCATTGGTTCATTCACACCTTGCAATTGTAATGATGTTTCGTCCTACTTAATTGTTAACTTATCAATACATTGTTGTTACAGTCGTGTGCCTTCATCTTTTTTGTGGCTGTTACATAGGACTGGGCCCTTGTATGCGATTTCCCACGCTGCTATCAGCTGCACAGAGACAGAGATTTTAGCTGCATCTGATTTTACCTGTATCAGGAGTACTGCGGGGAAGGACAGGTTAATGCTTCTTTACAGTATTCAGTTGTGCTGGGGGTGCTGGAAGGGGGCTAGGTTAATTGCTGCTTAGGTTGCTCAGGTTTTTTAAATTTCAAAAGCACTATTAAATGGCCTTTAAGCATCTGAACAACTATCACTGTACAGTGAGCAAACTGTTAGGCCAGAGAAAATCACAGAGAAGCATCCTGATCGGGGCCTTTGGTATATTATAGCAATGATGTATTTCTAATGTCTAGATGAAATAGGCTATATGGCTGATGCAGATCACTGCCAAAAAAAGAGAGAGGTCCAAATAAGCACTAATGGATCAATGGATGCCCGGCAGGGGGTGCGGTAGGGGAAACGGGACCGTTTCTTTTATGTGCTGCTGTTAAGAAAGCTTGCTAAGAAATGAGAGTCTGGTTACTGTTTGCAGGTGTGTGGTCCCTAATGTCAGTAGCACTATGAGAAGTATATTAAACTCTACAGATAGACATTCTGAGTCCAAAGAGCAACACAAAATGATCAGGAAGAAATGCACAAAAGTCTACTTTTCAATTGGAATAAAAAGCTACCATGCATGAATACCTTCAAGAAACAGAAATACAAAGCATTATGTTTGACGCTATAACTTTAACATAAATGCTCCTCTCTATATAAATGCTTTATGTATGGAACAAAGGAGTACAAAAAGGAAGGAAAAAAAGATTAGCTTTCTGAAGCATTTAATACTTACTTCTTGAGATAAGGGCCATTTCACTCTCAATTTTCATATAATTATGGGAAATCCTAATGCATTTAAAAACTGAATGTAGCCAGGGAATTGTTTTCTTACAGATATATACAGGGTTATCTCGCAGCTTTTAAGATCAAATGAAATACAAAAATCCCAAAATGTTTTCATAAAGAGCAGTTCAAATGTTATAATAATCTTATAATAACTGAACTCCAAGATGGAAATTTTAGGGAAATAACTGCAGATAATTTTCTTTTTACAGAAACTTGTCTATTACCATTTTTTCTCCATAATAGTACCAACAACAAAAGCTACAGCAACTTCCAATGGCATCAATACAGATTAAAATCTTTATAAAATAAAAGAGCACTGAAACTAGGAAACACCTGGGAAAATATTAATTTTCAATATGATTTAATCAACTTTTACTAGTAGCCTATTTTACTTAATAAAAATACCATCCATAATCATAGCCTTAGTATGAATGTAAAGAAAAAAAGGTATGTTGCAAGCAATTAAACTGAACATTCTATTTTGGGTGACACATTAAAATCAATTCAATGGAATGTCTGAGGACTACATTGTGAGAGTTGGAACTTAACTGGTTAAGTTGTTCCCATAATGCCTCACCATTCTGACGTCACTTTTGGAAGCTCGGGAGGAGCTTGAGGCAAAGATTGCCAGTCCCACTATGTGAGCTGTGGGGAAAAGGACGTAGTGCTGTGATGGCTGCAACTAGTCCTGGAAATTCCTGAGAAATGTTGGAAATAAAAGCTGTATAGAGACAAACGGGACTCTGTGTGTTTGTCTGAAAGCTGAATCAAGTTGGTGACAGTTTTACATCGCTGTGCGAAGCTCTGCTGAACCGTGACGGAGAAGTGCCGGAGTGGAAGCGTGCCGGGCAGCAATAAATCGCTAATTGAGGTCCGTAGATCAATTAGCGGGGGTCACGGCTAACAAAACAGCACAGGTTATGGGTCCATAAATAACCGCTTGTAAAACTGTCGCGGGAGCTGTGAATCTGCGGTGTCGAGCAGAGGCGGCAGAAGGTGCAGACGGAAGCAAACAAGCAAGCTGAAAGACACAAAGTGGCTGCCTGTGTTGCTGAGAACTGCAAAGAAGCTGCTGAGAGAGCTGCTGGAACACAGAGCTAAAAGCAAGAAGCAGCTGGGAGCTGAAAAGCAGCTGGAAAATCGTTTCTCCACGGAAGGGACAGCCAGAGAAGCTTGTGAGTACAGCTTGGGACCCCTTGGGAGAACGGAAGAGGATGGCAGGTTGCCAGGTCTTGGAGGACTGTGGGAGGCTCACTTTAAGAAGTTGGGCAACCTGGCTGCTGATCTGAAGTCTACTGTTCTGGGTGCCAGGAAGCCAGAGGCCGTTCAGCGCTCCAGGGTGTTTGTGAGGCTGGAGGCGGGAAGCAAGGGCTGGGAGATGGCTGCTTCAGAACAGAAAGACAAGATGGCGCTGATCACCTACGTGAGAGCCGGTGCACAGCTGGGAAGGGCTGTGGGCCCCAGAGGGGGGCAAAGGGACTAAGGGCTGCTTGGAAATGTGCTGCGTTTGCTGTGAAGCTTCAGCAGGAGGCCAGAGCCCTGGAGAAGGAATACAAAAGCCTAAAGATGGCTGGAGCCCCTGTCCCTGATGCTTTAGCCACAAGGAGTGCTGCTGAGCAGGTCGGGGGGGCGGAAGGTTTCCAAAGGCACGTTTAAAGTTTTCCACTGTACGTGCTGGAATCAAGTGGAGGTTCAGAGGGGGCGGAGCTGGCAAGGAGTGCTTTTCCGGAAGAAGGAGAAGGAGGCCAGCGGGAGGAGCCCAAAGAAGTATTTTTCCACTGGAGTTCGTCATTGCTACAGGCTTCAAGGCCAGCCATCTGCTGCAGCGGGAGACACGTGCTGCAGAGTTGTCTGGGAACTCTGAGATAAGTCAGAGCAACGCAGGATGTTGCGGTTTTCGGACGCTGCCAAGGACAGAGAAGGCAGCGGGACGTTTGTTGCTTCTATGGCAACTGTGAAAAACAACTCCAGCCAGGACACGATGACACGCTGGGTGTTTTGGTTTCTGCTATCAGGCAGCACCTGATAGGCAAGCTGCGGAACTGCAGGGCTGTTTTCAACAGGAACAATTGTTTTGTTGGCTAACGTGTTTTTTCTCTCCTTCACAGGAGGAGCTAGAGATCTGCGTTGTGCCGGGACTGAATAGTTGTCGGTTATCTGTATCTGCTCTAACGAAGCAGGGGTTCAAAAATGTGCTTTGAAAATGACACCTGTTCCATTTTCAGAGGGGGGCGACAACGGGTCAACATGGCGAAGAGCAAGAACAATTTCTTTGTTCTGGAGTCACCTATGGAGGGTGGTGGGAATGCTGAAAAAGCACAGGCGCAATGTGCTAAGGTTCCCAAAGGTGTGCAAAAGTTGCACAGGTGCACAAAAGGGTACAAACTCCGGAAATGTGGGAGGTCCCAAGGGTGCAGGACATGCAAAGGTGCAAAGGTGCTTGGTTTTCCCGGGTTTGGGAGGGTAGCCAAGGAAGCTTTTGAGCTTGTTCACACAGATCTGTCAGGACCCATGAGGTGTGAGAGTCTGGGTGGGGCCAGGTATGTGCCATCGCTGACAGATGACCACAGCCAGGTTGGCTGGTGTCTCTCTCTCAAACCACAGGGAGAGGCGGCGCAACTGATCCAGGATTGGGTTGCGGAGGTAGAACTAAAGTTCTCCACCAAGGTGCAAGGGTTCAAGAGCGACCAAGGGTCACAGTTTACTGGGTCTGCTCTGGAGGAATTTTTCAAGGAAAAGGAAATACGTCACTAGGTGACGGGTGCAAAGTCTTCTCAAGGGAGAAGGGAGGCTGTTGCTGAGCCCGGTGACGGGGATCAGGTCCAGAATCAGGGTTCAGAACCCGGTGATGGGGACCAAGTCCAGGGTCAGGGTTCAGGGCAGGTTTGGGCATCTCCAAGGGTTGTGAAAGGAGTGTCCAGGTGTGAGGCTTCATCTCCGGTAATGGAGAAAGCTCACGGAAGGGGTGTCAAGTCAGAGGGGGAAGAGTCTGACGGAGAAGACACAACTGCTGGCACTAATGGGTCAGTAGGGTATCAGGTCACAGGTGCGTGGAAAAGTGTCGCACAGTGTGATTCTGGGAATGTTGAAGGGGTTCAACAGGTGCCTGGGAAAGATGCCGGGAAGTGGCACAAGGCAAAGGGGAAGGTGTTGAACTCAAAAGGTCTTGTCAGAATGGGATGCAAGAGGGGGTGTGAGAGTTGGAACTTAACTGGTTAAGTTGTTCCCATAATGCCTCACCATTCTGACGTCACTTTTGGAAGCTCGGGAGGAGCTTGAGGCAAAGATTGCCAGTCCCACTATGTGAGCTGTGGGGAAAAGGACGTAGTGCTGTGATGGCTGCAACTAGTCCTGGAAATTCCTGAGAAATGTTGGAAATAAAAGCTGTATAGAGACAAACGGGACTCTGTGTGTTTGTCTGAAAGCTGAATCAAGTTGGTGACAGTTTTACATCGCTGTGCGAAGCTCTGCTGAACCGTGACGGAGAAGTGCCGGAGTGGAAGCGTGCCGGGCAGCAATAAATCGCTAATTGAGGTCCGTAGATCAATTAGCGGGGGTCACGGCTAACAAAACAGCACATACATTAGTCATTAATTATACACTACTTGTAATCTGCAAGAAATAATTTCAACTGAGATTAATTTTGCACCATGACTTAAAATGGAAATACTTGCTGAGGTAACTCTAAAGTAATGCCCTGGAATAAACCTGTCAGCCTAAACAAATTTTCCAATACAGGAAGTAGTCTAGAGTTTGTCTATTTTACTGTGCTATAAAACTGTGAAATCAACTAGATAATTACTGGCGCAGGTTTGTAGGCATGGTCACTGACATGTTCAACTAAACTTGAGTAACCTTAGCTGGAGTGTTATGAAACTTCCAGAGAAAATATGGGGTTACTTTAGTTTAAGAACTATGCTGTGGCATTTTGCAAAGCTACCTTTCACCTTTAGAAAACGCAACTTGGAAAACTGCCCTGGAGGTAAACCCTGGAGGTAACACTCAAAGTTCTTCCACGTCTGCAACTGCCGTCAGTGTGGCTTACTTTGCTATAGAAGCAGATTGCTTAAAAAAATTATCTGAATTATTTATAGAATAACCTTCAATAATATCAGCTAAGGCCGAGAGATGATGATGTGTCCAAGGCCACCTGAGCAAACTTTATGGTTAAAATGAGACTTGCAGCTATAAATGAATGTTCAAAGGTACATACGTCTGGGCAGATCTACAGTGCCTGAGAAATACCCGTGAGATTTTTTTTTATTGAGCGACATGAACGACTGCTGTAGCATGGTGACATACCTGGTTCTTCTGAGCACGCATAGCATCGACTTCATATTCACCATACTGTGGATCTTGAGCTGGGTCCTTTACTTCTTTGAAAACTCCGACATTCTGAAACAAGGGCAGGTGAAAGAGTAAAATGCAGCCTCGTTCTTTCCCCCAGGTGTGTCTTGAAATACCCCTAGAGCTTGCATCTCTGCCATAAATACGTTTAAGGCATCAACCTGTACGAGCTGCAGAGGCTGGTTCGTATCGCTCCCTCTTCTATATGTGTAATGAAGGACCAGTTGCATGACTGCAACCAAGATGGGATGGCATGGATGTGCTACATATATACACTGTTTTTCCTTATGGGGGCTAAACACACCTTGCAAAATACTCAACCCTCTGTGCGAAGAAGCTAGTTCATGTAACAGGCACTTCCAAGTGATCCTGGCTACACTGTGAACCCCTCCAGCAGGTCCACATGTTTCGAAGACAACTGTATGAAACAGCCTAGTTCCCATCAGTTCACAAACGTTGTATCAGCTTGCATTTATTTCGCCACGACAAGAACCTACAAAGATCACGTGAAGTGACTTTGTGTCTATGTTTCTGTGACAGTGTCCCAGTTCAGATGTAACAGTTCAGGTCTAACAAACCATGATTTATTTCAGTGAGAATGAGCATTGCGCCCAGGCACTCAGTCCTCTTTTATGCCACAGCTGAACACTTGGGTGTGGGGGTTAAGCCACAGGTTCCTCTAACATCTAAACTAGGAACCCCTGGCTCAAGGTTTAAATCTTGATCAATGAATTAGGAAATGAAAACAGCTGTGCCCAAAAAGCAAAGCCAGCACCAAACTTAAAGTTTCAATTCTTCCATAACTAGAAGTCCCAATGAAATTACTTTCCTTCTGCATAATCTGGCTTGGGCACAACAGTGCAGCCACAAGAATTAACAAGTATTGTGAAAAGAAATAAGGTTGATAAGAACATCAAAGAACAAAAAAGGTATACACACCTTTGGTGGAAATGCCTTCTCAAACACCTTTTTCCATAGATCCATAGGTGTCTGTGCATGCAGCTTTCCAATATCACTATTGGAAGCAGGAGGAGGACCTAGTTATTATAAGAATTGTAACAATGGTCACTCCATCATTCAAATGGCAAACAAGCTACTTGTCTGAATGTATTCCCCTCAATAATTTAACAAAACGGATGAAAAGAAAATACAAAATTGTCCTACATGGAGGTTGTTATACAAATATGTAAGAAACAGGTTCCTGAAGATAAGCACTAAGCTTTCAACACAGAAGCTGTTATACTAGGGCTGCAATCCTTTGTGTACTTTACACACTTTCCTGGGAGTAAGTCCCACTGACTTTAGCAGGGCTTACTTTTCAATAAATATGTATAGCGTTGTTGTTAAACATTGCTGAACCTTCTTAAAACTTTCTGATCGTTTTTCTTAAGTAATCACCTTACACAAATACATTTTGTAGACGTTTCAGAATCCATTGTTCATTTTTGTCCACTTCAGCCTTGTATTCTCTTAACTGTAAAAGCTATATGAACAATAAATAGACTGGATGAGAAAACCACCCACCTATTTGACTAAGAGAGTCCATTCCTGCTGGGATAAAGAGTGGCTTGTTCTGATCCACTGACATGGATTTGCTTAAAAAACATGAACGGAACAAAATGAATATAGATCAGTTATCAGAATTTACCAAAACTGACAAAAAGCACACTCCAAGAAAGCACACTTCTGTTTTTGTTTCTTTTCTTTTTTTAGAAAATTAGTACCCCCCCACCCCCCCCGTTACAACTGCGTCCCATTCAAATCAATAGAACTGATGGACTGCAAAAGTTTAATTTCTGCTGATGGAAGCTTTGACGGATCCATTTCCCCTCCTAGCTTTTTCTATAAAGCTCCAATTTTTATTTCTCTCTTGGCAGCAGTCCTTCTGACAAATGGGATTGAATGGGAGCTCCCCTCACCCACCCTTGCAGGCATGGAGGTCCAAATTCAGATCAGGGCTGGAGGAGGGGGAAATGTGCTAAATTCACCAGTGCCAAAGAAGAAGAGTTTGGATTTGATATCCTGCTTTATCACTACCCGAAGGAGTCTCAAAGCGGCTAACATTCTCCTTTCCCTTCCTCCCCCACAACAAACACTCTGTGTGGTGAGTGAGGCTGAGAGACTTCAGAGAAGTGTGACTGGCCCAAGGTCACTCAGCAGCTGCATGTGGAGGAGTCAGGACCCACTGCTCACCTGATGTTTTTGAAAGAAATACTGTGTACTCAAGGACAAACCACGTAATCAACATTCTGTGTAGTTTGGGCCTGAGTTCACTCTATGAGCAGATTTCCAACATTTCAGCAGGGCCTTTTCAAGCCCTGTCATCTGAGATCCTTTACCTGGAGATGCTATGAACTAAACTGAGGGACTTGGACATGCAAGTTCTATCACTGAGCTATTAGTGTGTCCTTCACATAAAAATGGCCTCTTTCCCACAATGGTAATTTTGCCCCGGATTCTCACACCCAAAGTGCAAAAAACATCCCTAAGACCTTGGGTGGCTAACCTGTGGTGTCTGCAGATGCCGCTGGGCTAGATCTAGAACTTCAGTCATTCCTGAACATTGGCCATGCTGGGAGGCCACAAGTTAGCCACCCACCTAGACCAACAAGTCCATTTGAAAGCATTTTCCTGAAACTGTTTCATCAGCCTTTATATAGATCTATGAGCAAGAATCCTGTATGAAACAGAAAAGCTGACAGATTTTCCCCCCCTTTTCCTTTTTTTACAAATTGCCAGTATCCAGTCAATAGAAGGTTTTGGGAGAGCTTGCCAATAGTAGGAAATTGTTTAGCTTACCTCCTATCAAAGCCAAATGCTAAATGGTTAATGAGAGTACGTGTTTTCAGGAGCAGAGCTTCAGATTTGCTTGTGAACTGTGAACAAAGCATAAAACTTGTGTTATGCTCCTCCTAGTAAACATAGGAAAATACTACTCCCAAGTCACTCAGAATTCATCATAGGACTGTTATGTCTAAGATTTAGCTGTTTCAGTGTCCTGAAACAGCTACCACTTAATGCCCCCAAATAATAATAATAAAAAAACTATTGCACAACACTGTTATAATACATGGTTACTGAAAACACAGAATTAAAACACACGATATAACAATCCCAACATTAACATATAAATGTCCATAAATAAAATATGCAGTAAAATAAAATTAAACAACACCAATTAAAACAGGAGACTCAGGTCAAGAGATTAAAGGAATCTTCAAAAGCCAGCAATGAAGGCCAATACAGATGAGGCTTCTCATATCTCAGCAGGGAGTGCATTCCACAATACCAGTGCTACTAGTGAAAAAGATCACCTCTGTGCCATCACAAGCCAACAATCATCAGGTCATGGTAAGACTAACCCACACATTGGGTTATTTTATTTTATTTTAATTTCTTTGTTTAGGAAATGAATACGAGTTGAAAGGGCTTGACTTTGGCAGGGTTGTGCCCATGAAATACAATAATATACATACCACTAAAGATGCTCCATAATAATGAGAAACAAAGCGAAGCGTCTTGTATATTATTTTTTTCATCTCCGAATCAAATTCCTTTTAAAAAAGAGGGGGGTTGGGGTGGAAAATATCTAATGAATAATTTACAGTTTTTCACAATGCGACATAACATTGCATGTAACACTAAGTCAACAGTTGCCAACAAGTGAATGTGTGGGCTTCCAGAGAGGAGACTTTGACCACTTTGCTCATTACAGGTCATTCTGTTATTGTGCTATGCTAAGCTAAACCATGGTTTGGTTGACAGTATTGTTTAAACCCAGGCTTGTGGCTCAGCTCACTCAGGCACAGCACAAGGTGTAGGCCATAGGATAAACCTTGGTTACAGCTTGAGGCTTGTCCGAAGAGAGCTAAAGCACAAGCTCAGTTTGGATGACCTGCTAAGCTAAACAATAGCTTAGATGAGCACAGCAAGAGGATGACCAGGGAAGATCAAAGCACTTCAATAGTATATACATATATTTCCCAAAGACACACATTTTTGCTTTGCCTCACAAGGGCTTATTTATTCTACTTTAGTGGAATGCAGCTTAACAATATTGGGAAATGTCATTTACACCCCATTCAAAAACAACCAATAACATTGGCTGCTTAATAAAGGAAGCAAACAAAGAAACCTAGGCTTGCGCTACAAAGAATTATGCATCAATGATAGGTGACTTGCCTAGAATGCACTATGCTGCCACCTAGGGGACCAAGGATGAATGTTTCCCCAAACACATGTCCTGCCTGCATGGGCTCAAACACTGCAGGAATGATAAGACTGCAGATTGGTGTTGTGGTTATAAAAACAAGAAGGATGAGAAATGAATTAAAAGCAGACTCTGAAAGAACCAGCATTGCTGTATCTGATGATAAATCATCAGCACTTGTGAAGAGACAGGCACAGCGAAGTGTTTTCTACTGATCAAGTGTGCACACATTGATCCAGTTGAGGGAGGAGTGTGAGAGAAAAAGGACCCGAGGACAGTACTAAGTTAAGATCAAGCAAGGTAGGGACCAGATTAAAGGGTACCGCACACCACATCTTCTTGGGAAGTCCCTGCTGCATCAGGGAAATGGTCCATCTATTCTAGCATCCAGTTCTCAGTGTGGCCAATCAGATGCCTATGGAAAGCCTGAAAGCACTCTCCCGACCAGTGATTCCCAGAAACTGGTATTCAAGGGCATCCTGCCTCTGGCAGTGGAGGTAGAGTATAGCCATTGTGGCTAATATCCATTGACAGCTGTCTTTAATGGTCAATTCAGTTCTGGGGAGAGGAGGTCATCTCAGACACATTTATACTTCCAGTTAATGGGTAAGTGATGGAACTCCTATTTGGGGACTTCCCTGGCTTTTTTCTGGTCCACGTAGGACCAGTCTGGATAGTTGGCCTTGGTGAAGATTCGACGTTTTCATCCCCAAAATGTTTTTGATTTGAGTTCCTACTGAAATGAGGCTGCATTTTAATGTTGTACTAAATCTTGTTTTTAAGTTGTATTTTAATCAATTGTTTTTACCTGGTGTTAACCGCCCCGAGCCCAGTCTTGGCTGGGGAGGGCGGGGTATAAATAAAAGTATTATTATTATTATTATTATTATTATTATTATTATTATTACATTTGCTGGGAAGGCAATCTTAAGATTCAGCTAAAAATGAATACTGTCTGTCAGAAATGCCACCGCTGCATATAAACAGGCTGTTCATCTTCAAAGATAACTCTACAAAATAACCTAAAGGGCATGTGCTAAAGGAGAGAATGGGGCCTGAAGGTCAACATAAAAAACAAGGGGAAATATAAAAAAACAAGGGGAAATGTTTCCCCAAACACATGTCCTGCATGCAGGTACTCAAACACTGCAGGAAAGATAAGACTGCAGATTGGTGTTGTGGTTATAAAAACAAAAAGGATGAGAAATAAATTAAAAGCAGACTCTGAAAGAACCAGCATTGCTATATCTGATGATAAATCATCAGCACTTGTGAAGAGACAGGCACAGTGAAGTGTTTTCTACTGATCAAGTGTGAACACGTTGATCCAGTTGAGGGAGGAGTATGAGAGAAAAAGGACCCGAAGATAGTACTAAGTTAAGATCAAGCAAGGTAGGGACCAGATTAAAGGGTACCACACACCACATCTTCTTGGGAAGTCCCTGCTGCATCAGGGAAATAGTCCATCTATTCTAGCATCCTGTTCTCAGAGCGGCCTATCAGATGCCTATGGAAAGCCTGAAAGCACAGGAAGCTGCTTTATACAGAGTCAGACCCATTGTCTAAGTCTATTCCAACCGGCAGAGGCACCTGAGGGTTTCTCAGCCCTACCAAGGGATGCTAGGAATTGGAGCTGTTGGTATATTTCACAGTTGGTACAGTGGTACCTCGGGGTACATACGCTTCAGGTTACAGACGCTTCAGGCTACAGACTCCGCTAACCCAGTAATAGTACCTTGGGTTGAGAACTTTGCTTCAGGATGAGAACAGAAATCGCGCAGCAGCGGCGTGGCAGCAGTGGGAGGCCTCATTAGCTAAAGTGGTGCTTCAGGTTAAGAAGTTTCAGGTTAAGAACGGACCTCCAGAACGAATTAAGTACGTAACCAGAGGTACCACTGTGTATTGCTAGTATATGTCATTCATATTTTGTCTTATTTTCTTCATTATTATAAATATTTTATTATTGTTTCTGGAGGATGAATGACACAGATGGCAATTACATATGGCTGTAATTGCCATTTTGTTCATATTACTTTTCTGATTTTGGAGGGCGGGGGAGAGAATCAATAAAAAAGTGTCCTAGGCTACCACAATACAACAGAGGGAGAGAATTGTAACACAGTTATTACTTACATGAAACATATCATATTTGCTCCCGATTATAACTAGTGGAATTGGAAACGGATCAATCAGTTCACGATCCTGTTAAGAAAGTGGCAATACTTATATAACATTTTTTTACAATCCCTTTTTTCAGATAAGAACATGCTGAGATGGCTTCAAAATAGTTCACACATGGGCTTCATTGTTGCATAATCTTTTGGAATAAGGAGAATTTTAAGACTGTACAGCCATTAATTTATTATGGAAGTAACTGCAAGTAACTCACCAATGCCTTAAGTAGGAAGAATTCAAATTCCTTTCAACCTAACTCAGTCCAGCCTGTGAAGGAGCCTCACCCCTACTTAGATGGGTACACCGAACCCCAATGTGACAAGAGCACATTGACTTTACAAATGGCTTTCCATGCTAGCTCTTCCTTATGGGAAGAGGCAAGCCTAGGGAACGAATCCCTGAAGTTTCAGCTCCTTACATATGCTTAAGCTCAAGACAAGCAGAGCAGCTAGGATTTGCTTCACCAGAGGCAGGAAGAAATCTTTTTTCTTGTTCTCCAATATAAGCTCAACTGAGCTGCACATGAAAATTCTGCATCTACAGAAGCGGCAATGGATGAAACTTGAGCAGGGGTCTTGGAAGGGGTTTCTTCTTGTTCAGTGGTCATCCGACATGTATGATCTAGTTAAAATTCCTGCATTGCAAGGGGCTGGACTAGAAGACTTTCAGGGTCCCTTCCAACTCTATAATTCTACGATTTTATAATTCTCAAATGCACATAGCAGCTTCAGAAAAGACAAAGGTGGGAGGGGGGCTGCGACTCCTTCCATTCAGGAGTGTGAGTTGGCACCAGTGCGATAGGTGAAGCAAGGGAGAAAAATATGCCCGTTTTTTTAAAGATGAACTGGGCTACTGAAAGTCATAAAGGAAGCAAATTTAAGTCTATTGGGTCTTTTATTCATGTTCATTTATTGCTCGCATTAATAGCTACTTTATAGTATTATTTTTACATCCTCGAATTGTGCACTATAGAATATATATATATACGTTGTTTAGACACCGCATACACACAACATTTGTACAAGATGAATGCATGATGCCAGGCACCTTTTCAATTGCATCTTCGGGAATCTATTTTACTTTCTTCAAGAGAGCACATTAGCAATTGAATTTCAAGGGCTTATGTTAACATCCCTGAAATTTTATAATTTAATTAGTTGTCACATTATCAAAAGGCACTGAGTCTGTGATAGACACTTGAATAAATGCAAAGTATAGAGTCGTGCTGAAGGCTGTTATAACTACACCCTTTCCTCAAATCTGTAGCTTCAGTGAGTTGCTTTGCCAGATAACTTCTGTACATTCTAGTTTTCACCTTCATTTCAAAAGGAGATTATAAAATCAATATCAAACTGCGTCTGTAAAACTGTTTCTTTTGATTGTTGTAACATGCCATAACAATCACATTAGATGTCTAACAAGAACATATAAGAAACCTTCTTTCCTTGTTTCTGCCCCTACTGAATTTTCATTAAATTGCTATAATTTTCCACTGAACAAGTTCTTCTACATCAAATGGATTTTCAGTCATGCATAAAAATCTAAAGGAATTGTTTATGATTCTCAAAGCGATTATCTTTAACTGTGTATGAGCCTGTGACATCTGGAGAAAATACTAGTTCTTACTGGATGGTCCTTTGGCAAATTGTTCCATATTCTCTGTTTAATTTCAGTAGCTGCTTTAGGATTTGTTTGTCCCAGTTTTGTTATAACTCTGTCTACATGCTTCCTAGTGGCTTGTAAAAGGCTCTCCATGGTTGGCCACAGTTCATTTGGCTTGGAAAGATCCAGGACAAGAACGATAGCAAATGTCCTACAAAAAGAACAGAAAGACAGCCTAACATTTTTAAAGGCACCTAATATATTCTTTGGGACGCGGGTGGCGCTGTGGGTTAAACCACAGAGCCTAGGACTTGCCGATCAGAAGGTCGGCGGTTCAAATCCCCGCGACGGGGTGAGCTCCCGTTGCTCGGTCCCTGCTCCTGCCCACCTAGCAGTTCGAAAACACATCAAAGTGCAAGTAGATAAATAGGTACCACTCCGGCGGGAAGGTAAACGGCGTTTCCGTGCGCTGCTCTGGTTCTCCAGAAGCGGCTTAGTCATGCTGGCCACATGACCCGGAAGCTGTACGCCGGCTCCCTCGGCCAATAAAGCGAGATGAGCGCCGCAACCCAAGAGTCAGCCACGACTGGACCTAATGGTCAGGGGTTCCTTTACCTTTAATATATTCTTTACACAAGAAGTATCTCATACAATGGCATCTAAACAGCAGTTTAGAGGAGCAAAAAACAAACATCCCAACCCACACAACCTAAGCAAATTACATTAAATATGGAAACAATGTTTGCCCCGAAAATGATTTGTACTCTACTGTAAATTCTTTGTTGTGATATTTTATTAGCTGAATTTATAAGCCTGGTTACTATGGGCTGAGTGAACTGTTTGGGAGAATTAGATGGAGCAGCATTGCTGGAGCTAAGGAGTTATGAACTTGACAAGTAACAAGGAAACAAGCACTGATGCTTGCTTGTTTCAACAAATCATAGTTTAAACTAACCAGTTATTTGCAGTTCACACAGTTAAGCCCTGGGCTCCTTGAGGAGTAAGAGTGGGATATAAACTGAATGGACAAATTAATAAATATACAACAACCAACTGTGGTTAGTTCAAAAATGAAACTGTGTTGGGGTGGAGAAGCATGCACACCTGACACTTGCTTCCGATTGTTGATGTAGTGCTACACCATGGGTTAGTGGCACATCTAAAAAAGGCAAATATCCAAGGTGACACTTTTAGTTAAGAGATGAACAAAGCTGTCTCAACCAGCCTCTTAAAAATTTTAAGAAACAGGGAAAATAGGAGCTCTAGCCTGCATGAAACTTTGAACTGCAGACCAAAGCATCTGGCTAGCCTGAGTCCATCATTTCAAATTCTTTAGCCCAAAAAGTGGTCTGCTTCTCCCCACACCAACATCCTAATGTTGATTTTAATTGTAATTCATCTGCAGCAGCTGTAAAAAAACAAAACCAGGTAACTATCTTACCCATCCACATGAAAATTACTTTGATTTTTCACAGCTATGCACAGAGAAAGCAATTTAATATCTTCCGTCAAGTGTAACTACACTGAGAAGAGAGAACCAGGGCCTTTTCCACAATAGTATACAGCCTTTTCCCACTAAATGCCCGTTGAGAGCAGAAGAAAACCAACCAGTACATTGACTTCTGTTGAGAGGCAACACAAAATTTATTGGTTAGGTGGTTTGTTTGGGTTGAAAGGAAAGCTAGTTTTAAATCTACATTAAACAATTATGTGCAATGGCTGCTGGTCTTCAGCCAGTCCCTATCTCTCCCTTGTATCTCAAGCATTGTTGGAAACCTAAAATGTCGCTCTGGGATATTTGCAAAAATAGATGCAAGTGTAACGAATAAAGCTTACAGCTGCTGGGAGAGAAGGTAGTCTCCTACAACAGTAATATTTTCTGTATCTTCTCGTAGCTCGTGTTTTGAGAAAACGTCTTTCTCTTTTTCCTTAAATGGAGCTACTTTCTGAGGCAGGTATCTTTCTTTTAATAAACCATCTTTATTTTTTTCAAAATGTTATTGCTACATTTATACCCCAACTTTCTTCCAAAGAGCTTAAGGTGGTAAATATGGTTCCCCCATCTTAGCTGTCCTCAGAACCATCATGTAGGGTAGGTAAGGCAGAGAGATAGAAACTGGCTCCAGGTCCCCTGGTGAGCTTCATAGTTGAGTGGGGATTTAAACCCTGGTTTTCCAGGTCCCAGCTCAGAATTCTACCCATCACATCACACTACAGAATGTAGTTCTATAGATAGTAGAGGGTATAAATTTCAAAAAGCAACTGGAAGCACAATCCTATACATGTCAACTCAGAAGTAAGTTCCATTCAGTTCACTTCCAGTGAACTGGAAGAGAGCCAGTGTGGTGTAGTGGTTAAGAGCGGTAGTCACATAATCTGGGGAACCGGGTTCGTGTCTCCGCTCCTCCACATGCAGCTGCTGGGTGACCTTGGGCCAGTCACACTTCTTTGAAGTCTCTCAGCCCCACTCACCTCACAGAGTGTTTGTTGTGGGGGAGGAAGGGAAAGGAGATTGTTAGCCACTTTGAGACTCCTGAAGGGGAGTGAAAGGCGGGATATCAAATCCAAACTCTTCTTCTTCCAGTAAGTGGGCACAGATCACCAGCCACAATGAATGAGAAAGTAGTGAAACTGAAAAACTGACTCAGATGAAGGTATGACTGACTACTGTTCACCAGTGGAAGCTGTATTGACTATACGCCATGTATACAATTCCAGGTCCCACACGTGCAGGATAAAAATCTAGAGGCCACAAATGACTATGAGAAAGAGTAATAAATGTTTCTAAATGAATAAAGTTGAAGTATGAAGTTCAGTGGAAGAACTGAGCTGTTATAGAAAGATAGCGGAGATTAATTATGAAATTACCAAGTTCATTACCTTATGTTAGCTGTAGTTATTGGTATGGGAATCAAGTCCAACAATGAAGTTCCACCACCTAGTTCCCAAAAATTAGCAATGTCTTTGGGCTGGAAAAAAAAGTTTATTTGCATTAATCATTTGCACAAGAATTTGATGCATAACATACATTGCAATATGCATCTTGTATGATTGATCTGACATCAGACAGAAACCCAGCAGAGAAGGTTGGGTTGTCTTATCAGGAGTTTAGAAGAATGCCAGCTGTGGATTTTGCCGACAAGGTGTTGGAATATAAGATTTACACATGAAACTTGAGAAGATCTTCTAAGAGACACTTCACACTTAGTCATGGATAGGGAACTTTTTTCTGCCTAGGAGCTACATTACCTTCTGAGAAATCTTCTGGGGACCACAGGCTAGTTGTGGACAGGAACAGAGGCAAAAGTAGGCAGAGCAATGAATATAAAGTTTACCTTTGTACAGCAGACCTGTTTCTGAACGCACTCACCTGCCCCCATGCTCTGTTTGGGCAAGCAGGGATCATTATGAGAGTTCAAGGATACATTCCAGTCCGGCAAAAACACTATACAGTGGTACCTCGATTTAAGAACAGTCCGGTTTAAGAACAATTCGGTTTATGAACTCTGCAAAACTAGAAATAGTGTCCCGGTTTGATAACTTTACCTTGGTCTAAGAATGGAATCTGAAAGGTGGAAGGGCACTGGCGGCGGGAGGCCTCATTAGGGAAAGTGCACCTCGATTTAAGAACAGTTTTGGTTTAAGAACAGACTTACAGAACAGATTAAGTTCATAAACCGAGGTACCACTGTAGATAGGTGTGAAGCAAGTTCAGGGAAAGGCTTGAGGAAAGAGGATGTAGCCTGGGGAGAATCCCACAGGCCAGCCAGAGGAGCCAGGAGGGATACATTTGGCCTTGGGAGGTTCCACACCCTGATTTATGTGATAGTCTTTATACAATAGTGTTCATGGAACAACAACAACAAAAGAAAATACATGTAATCCCCACTAATCCTCAAACACCCTTGACACGGGTTGTAGGGAGAGATAAGAAAGCCAAAACTAGCCACAACGCTCTGGTGTATATTTTGTTTGCATCTCTCCTTGCTGAAGCCCACATAAAGAGCTCTGCTTATGTGCTTGAAGTCAGTGCCAGGAACAGAAAAGGAGGAGAGAGACAATCTGCAGAAATGTCATTGGTTTTTCCCTGAGCTGATGAGGCTCATTTGACAGCAAAAAGAAATCAAGCCTTTATTTTATTTTAGTATCATCGGCCCAGCCCTGTGGAATAGTCTGCTAACAGAGATTCAGTAGGCACCTTTTGTCTCAACTTCTAACGACTGCAGAAAACTTTCCTATTTCACTAGGTTTATGCAGGCAATTAAGAATACATCTTTCCATAATATTTAGCTGATTTTAATATTTTTGTTTGGTTTTTATTGCATGGTTTTATGTATGATTGTTGTAAAATGCTCTGTTTTTATGAATAGCAGGATATAGATATTTTTAGAAACAAATAAGTTTAAAAAATGCACATCTTTCTCCAGCTATCAAGGCCACTGCAAATTAGAGTGCTGTCTCAAATGTGGTTGCATAAATGTCAGGGGCAGGCTTGATGAGGTACATAACACTACTGATGAACCAAAAGGAGATTATATAATCTAGTTTGTCAGCATACTTACTGTATTGTGCCCTTTTGCTCTTCTTCCAAATGTATACTCCAAAGCTAATGTTGGTTTTGGAATTTCATCCCTGGAAAAATTAAGATCACACACACACACACACACAGAGAGAGAGAGAGAGAGAGAGAGAGAGAAATTAACCTTCTTCTTAATAAAATTAAATTTGCCCTATTATCAAAACAGTATTTTCACAAACAACAGGGGAAAACAAAACAGTGAAAATGCTTCCCAAGTTTCTTGGAGTGAGTTTGCATGGGATGGTAAAACTCAGTGAATAATTTCTGAGAACTGAGATGTAAAAACTAGAACACGGCAATATACAATAAAGATATGACCCAAGACAAAATGGTTAATTGCCTATATTTTTGCACAACTGTTTTATCTGGGTACAGTACTCCAAGATTGGGAAATCTGGTAAAATAACATTAGAGTATTAAATACAGAGCTGAGCAGAAATTTATTTGCTTGCAAATAAGAGAGATGCTGGAAATTAAAGGCTGCAATCCTATACTTACCTGGCTGGGAGGAACAGAGCAATATTTCCTCCCCGTCCCCACCCCCTCAAATCTACAATGCTGGAATAAACTAGAATGTGGTGGGTTCTTTTCTGCTGCTCTCCATCAATGGGGGGCTATGCTGCCATGGGGGGGGGGGGCCTCCGCCGAACCTGCTGAAATGTGGGGCAGTGTACATTTCTGTTGGAAGTGTTCCTGCTGGCTGTAGGCATTACAAGGCCCCAAAGTGGGGTGTCACTCTGGTGACAAACCCAGAGCCAGCCTAATTCCTGAGGAGGAACCCAATCTGGAACCCTCTGCTGTGCTAGTCTGAAGGTGCTGCAGGCATCTCCCAGCCCAGCAGGAGCTGGTTGCAGATGAGGCTGGGAGTCCACTGCTTGCTTAGGGTTGTACTCCAAGTCTCATTGAAAGAGGGTCGGCATGCATAAGATTGCATCGTAAAGATACAAGGTATATGCTAATACTTTATATTTTAAAAAGCACACCAACTTCCTAGCATACAACGTGTCATGCTATGCCATGCCTCATTAGTTCACCTCCAGTGACTGAAACTTTGCATTATTAAATTATTATCACAAGATTTTAGGAAGAAGATATCACAAGATTTTAGAGAGAGGAATTCCACACCATAAATGCCTCTCTGTGTGGAAAGTGTTTTTTTGGTTACCTATACAAATAATTACAAATATTGAGAAAAGGAATTCTGTGAAGCATGAAAGATCATAGCCAGCCTTATGAAGCGGTGAAGAAACTGCTATGCATGGTGGATTCCAGAGGGGTTACCATTTTCCTGTCTCCCATTCTGTGTCATTAGAAAATATGAGGTGCAGAGCAGGTGGGAAAGGAGGAGAGAATTTTGAGTAATAGCCAACTAAGCCATACTCAGAGTAGGCCCATTAAGATCAATGGACTTAAATGCATTCATTTCCATGGGTCAGCTGTGAGTATAATCACTCTTTAAAGTGTGACTATAGGCCCAAACCAGCATGATGAGTTGTGCTCTGAAATGACACTGGATCACGGATGTGATGCGCCACTCTAGTCAATATGTAGTGGAGGCCACCAAGGTCATAAGGGTGGCTCTGTCTTACCAAATGGACTGCTGGCCTCCTAGAGTCATCCAAAAGGGGCCATGTAGAATAGCAGGTCCAATACATTTCATCACCTGCCTGAGGCAGCCACCTCACTTGACCTAATGATAGGACTGCCCCTGAGCGCAATGTTACAGTGTTGGTAAGAATAAATCATAAGTGTTTTTAGACAAATATGTTCTGAGGAACATATTTCCACTGTTTGAAGGCACACTGTTAAGGTATGTTCCAACAATGAAACTGTTGATGTTATTTAGAATTTTGAGTACCCAGAAAATATGAGATACTTCTCAAAACTTAAACACATACCTGTCAAGGCACCTCAGTATAATAGTAGTCTTTCCCTAGAAATTAAAAACAACAAAGAATACTATTGTAATGTCATTAAAGCATAAATATTATATCATTCTACATGCTGTAATGCATTCTTCTAATCATTTCTAATAAAATATCTGAAAATTACAAATGTAGGCAATTATATGTCATCTTATTACAGGAAAGTTAGCTGCCAACTTTCTATCAGAGTGTATCTACACTGCTATTATTATTACCATTATCAGAAATGATTGGAAATGACAAATTTAGTAATGGCAACAAGAAACTTAAAAATACAGGCATCACAGTAGCAATCAGTTTAGCCATTTGTATCCGCCATTGATAATTGTAAATAACAGGTTGATCAAATGATCGCCTGCTACTGGAATTGCTTAAGTAATGGAATGGAAATAAAATGAATGCATGAAATATACATAACAACACTATATAATTTCTTCATGCTTTAAGAAATCAGGTGCTGGGTAAAGTAGCTTACTTTGAAAATTATTTTTAAAATTAATGTTTACATTTTCTACAAATAAATTAAGCAACAACTTAAGTCTTTCACTATTTAATTTTATAATGTGGGTAACAAACATTTTTACCATTCCCATCCTGGATAAACATACTTAACTACTATTTTCTTTTGAATCAGTGGCACTTAAAAGTATTGTTGTTGTTGTTTGGTCGTGTCCAGCTCTTCGTGACCAATGGATCAGAGCACACCAGGCACTCCTGTCTTCCACTGCCTCCTGCAGCTTGGTCAAACTCATGTTCGTAGCTTCGAGAACACTGTCCAACCATCTTGTCCTCTCTCGTCCCCTTCTCCTTGCGCCTTCCATCTTTCCCAAGATCAGGGTCTTTTCCTGGGAGTCTTCTCTTCTCACGAGGTGGCCAAAGTACTGGAGTCTCAGCTTCAGGATCTGTCCTTCCAGTGAGCACTCAGGGCTGATTTCCTTCAGTATGGATAGGTTTGATCTTCTTGCAGTCCATGGAACTCTCAAGAGTCTCCTTCAGCACCATAATTCAAAAGCATCAATTCTTTGGCGGTCAGCCTTCTTTATGGTCCAGCTCTCACTTCCATACATCACTACTGGGAAAACCATAGCTTTAACTAGATGGACCTTTGTTGGCAAACTTATGTCTCTGCTTTTTAAGATGCTGTCTAGGTTTGTCATTGCTTTTCTCCCAAGAAGCAGGCGTCTTTTAATTTCGTTACTGCTGTCACCATCAGCAGTGATCATGGAGCCCAAGAAAGTAAAAACTAGAACTGCACTGTAAATTAGACAAATTGCAAGTGGACACCAACTACCCATATTTTGGTACGTACAGCTTTGCAAGGTAGGAAATATTTCTTGTTGCTATAACAGAATTTCAGTTAGTATGCAAACAAAATTTATTTAATTTATATCTATACTAATGTGAAATGAAACACTGATTGTTACCCCATTTTTATTTCCTATAAAGAATAGTGATCTTTCCCAACATTCCAGACCATCTGTGCTGTCTTCATGGTTTTCTCTTTTTTCAACTTCCGCTTTAGCAATATCCCACAAGGTGTCACTAGCAAAGGAAAAATAAAATAAAAAGTCCTCATGTAAAACAACCTTCCAGTGAAGATGCTCTGCTCCCACACCACACACTCTACTCCATTTCTCCCTCACTGAAACTAATTGTGCCTTGTGATTATAAGTCACGGGAAGCCTATCAGGTACAGTGGGCAAGCTAGTAAATTCCAGATTCTGTACTTAATGAGCTTCTTAGTACCAAGATTCCTGTCCCCCCACCCCATCTGCTATAAGCATACATATTTGTCTGGATGCTTTATTCCTGCTTAATTGCACCCTACATTTAATGCAGTATCATATCATTTTAAACAGTTATGACTTCTGCCTAAGAATCCTGAGGACTGCAGTTTATTAGGAGTGCTGAGAGTTGTTAGGAGACCCCCATTCTCCTCACTGAGCTACAATTCTCTGACAATCAATCCCTCTTCCCAGGAAATTTTGTAGCACTCTCAACAAATCCCAGCACCCTGAACAAGCTACAGTTATTTACAGTGGTGCCTCGCAAGACGAAAAGAATCCGTTCCGCGATTCTCTTCGTCTAGCGGTTTTTTCGTCTTGCGAAGCAACCCCATTAGCGGCTAAGCGGATTAGCGCTAATAGCGGTTTAGCGGCTATTAAAGGCTTAGCGGCTTAGCTGCTAAAAGGCTATTAGCGGCTAAGCGGCTTAGAAAAAGGGGGGAAAGCGGGGGGGAAATGGCGAGACTCACAAGACATTTTCGTCTTGCGAAGCAAGCCCATAGGGAAATTCGTCTTGCGAAGCGCATCGCAAACGGAAAACCCTTTCGTCTAGCGGGTTTTCCGTCTTGCGAGGCATTCGTCTTGCGGGGCACCACTGTATTTTATGAAGGGGCAGGGAACCTCTACCCCAGGTATAGGCAAACTCGGCCCTCCAGATGTTTTGGGACTACACTGCCATGATCCCGAGCTAACAGGACCAGTGGTCGGGGATGATGGGAATTGTAGTCCCAAAACATCTGGAGGGCTGAGTTTACCTATGCCTGCTCTACCCTGTGAGCCAACCTGTACCCCCCCCAGGCCATTCTGTCTGGTCCTCGGGATGCTCCTTGTGCCATGCCCCTCATCAGCTTCCCTCTGTGCTCTTGAGTACTTTTTGTCTAATTCAAAAGTTTCCTTGAACTGTGATGGTGCTCCTTGTTTAACTGGACTGAGCGACTGCGAGGGAGGGATATATAAACCTCTGGATTTTGTGCAGCTGGAACGGGAGCCCACAGTACAAAGAAATGAAGTGTGTTCGTTAACCCACTTCCCTATGGCTTTTACGCAGAGCCCCAGGACAGTTCCTTACAAAGAATGCAGCGCTTGTGCTGGAAAGCACCCCCTTTACCAGTTTTATAATGCCCCCCCCGCCCCTTATCAGTGGAGTGGACAATAATTTGTTCCCCCCATAAGAAACAAGCATACAATTAAATCACTGCTGAGCTGCACCCACCATTTAGAGTTTTGAAGAGATGGGGAGAGGGACAGGGAACTGCAGCTTGTTCAGGGTGTTAAAGGTAAAGGTAAAGGGACCCCTGACCATTAGGACCAGTCGTGACCGACTCTGGGGTTGCGGCACTCATCTCGCTTTATTGGCTGAGGGAGCCGGCGTACAGCTTCCGGGTCATGTGGCCAGCATGACTAAGCCACTTCTGGTGAACCAGAGCAGTGCACGGAAATGCCGTTTACCTTCCCGCTGGAGCGGTACCTATTTATCTACTTGCACTTTGAGGTGCTTTTGAACTGCTAGGTTGGCAGGAGTGGGGACTGAGTAACGGGAGCTCACCCCGTTGCGGGGATTTGAACCGCCGACCTTCTGATCGGCAAGTTCTAGGCTCTGTGGTTTAACCCACAGCGCCACCCGCGTCCCGTTCAGGGTGTTAGGAGACCCCTAATTTCCCCCCACAGAGCTACAATTCTTGAGAGTTCCCGAGGAAGAAGGCGTGATTGTTCAATGGGAACTGTAGCTCTGGTCCACAGGATCCAGCTCCTAGAGGCCAGTGACACTTTGGCTCCCTGCCCCAATAAAATATTTAAGCACCCCCACCCCACAAGTCCATGGATGTTCAAATGGGAATTGTGCATTGTGCACTGTGATTGCTAATAATAATAATAATAATAATAATAAATTATAATTATAATTATTATTTATACCCCACCCATCTGGCTGGGTTTCCCCAGTCACTCTGGGCAGCCTCCAGCAAAATATTAAAATACAATAATTCAGTATTATAATTCACAATAACTTATGTGGGGCAGGGCTCACCTGGGCCCTCCAATATTTTATTCATGTTTGCCCCCCACCCCGCGCTCTGGTAGGTCTCCCAGACAAACTACACTTCCCAGGTCTCTTTTGGGGCGCCCGTTTAAAGCGGAATAACAGCGCTTTGAAAGACATGGTGCGGATGTCGAGATGCCCCCCGTCCTCCGGGAAAGCTGCAGGCGGCCTGAAGAAGCCGGAGGCCGGGACACTGGGAGACGGCGAGCCCTGTCCTGTCCTCCTGAGGGAAAGCGGCCTGCAGGCCCACCGGAGCAGCAGAGGCGGAGACAAGCCCTCCCCACACCACCCCGCTCTTTACCTGGCCCCGGGCATCGCTGCCCCGCTATCCCCGGAACGACGCGGCGGTGCTTAGGCCTCGGTGGACTCCGGTCGCCATAGAAACAGCGCCTTGCCCAGCGGCCTAGCGGGAAGGAGCATCATGGGAGTTGTAGTTCTTCAGGAGCAGGAACGCGCGGCGCTCCTGCTTTCCGCTTGGTCCGCTTCCGAGGGTTTTTTCTTTCTTTCCCCGCACTCTGCGAAAACTGCTTCTTGCAAGGTCGATAGGGCGCTGTGTGCGCGCGAAAAAGTGTTGTGTGTGTAGAAACGAGGTAGTGTGAAAACGATTTTTCTTTTTTAGCTGCAGATTAGAATTGCAGTTTATTTTACGGGAAAGTTGCTCTTTAAATTTCGCCCACTTGCCGCACTCTGCGGATAGTTTCCCCTCTGCTTTTGTGTGGCTTTTTGCTACCCGAGTTAAAATGTTTAATTAGGGTAAGTGGTCATCGGAGAGGGGGCAGTCACCCCCGGAGGCTTGTCGGATCTGCTTTTTAGCCTTCAGTGCGTTGTTTCTGGTGGCTTTTGTATGATTTTATGCTTAGGCTGCCGCCGTCATTTTTTAAGCGAGTCGCTGACGGCAGTGTACACGTGTGTGTGTCCGTATACACGTATGCACAAATGGTATACCAGCTTTTCCGAGACAGTGTGTAAAGCCTGTTGAACGCAATGAATAGACACGTATAGGTTTGTGCAATTAGAATTGACTCAGTTGCTTGCTGCTGCTTCCATGGGGCTCCTTTAATGTGACTGTTGTTGGAATATTTCTCTCTCTCTCTCTCTCTCTCTCTCTCTCACACACACACACACACACACACGTGTGGACTGCAACAGCAGGGAGGGCGGCATTTAAGAACAATCCATCCTCAAACGGACTATAAAGTACGAGACCTTTTCAGATTAATTGAATTCTGCAATCATAAAATACTACAGATTTCCATGACAATGCCTTTATTTGTTAGGTGGTTTACATTCATATAAAAAATACCTTACGCAATAAAAGCTAAATATCCACAAAATAAATACAAATACTCTTACACATAAATTAATGTTTTATAATTATTTTTTCGCTTTCAGTACCTGTTCTGTTCCAATATTTCTTTACTACACGTAATTCAACAAACCGCAGTTATTTTTCAGCAATTCATTATTTGTGCATCACATAAATTGGAACCCATACAATTTAAACTTCTCTACATAAATGGTTCTCCTGTACCCATCACTGATAAAGATCTCTCGATCTAGCTCTAGCTACATGAGAAAAAAATGTATGTGAGACTAGCTGTACAAGAATGTAGACAGAGATGCATGTGTATCCTACTGAAATCAATGCAGTAGACGGGCACAAGCAGATTGATCACGCCAATGTGCATCCAGTTGACGCTACTGATATCCAGCACATGGTAAGCACACAGAAGCCAGCTTATGTGTGCAGATCTCCTTCGCTGGATCAGAGTGATTGAGGTCATGTATGATACAACAATTTCCTCCAAAAATTTAAAACTGAACCATAAGGGGGTTGCTACTAACATACAATGAGAGAAGCAACAAACATGATGACCAATGTAGAATTTTATATGTATGATAAAAACCATGAATATACATAGCTATTTTAAAATTAAATATTAACATGGTTTCTGACGTGTCGTTTTCATTTTCCAGATTTTAAAAAATGACACACGGGTCTGCCAGTGGTGGCAGGCTACATCTGAAAAGGCTCTGACCTTTCTACCACTTTTAGCAACTTCACTAGCACCTCGTAGTTTGCAGTTACTAAATAAAACTTTCAGTTTATTTCAGAGGTCGAAGAGCCTGCAGATGCGGAGGCATACCTATTTTAACCTCAACCCTCCCATAAAAATATAGAACGGTTAGCTGTAAAATTATTTATTGTTTTGTACAAGTATAGTAACTGGATATTTTTTTAATGGGGGTGGGGCTAAGAAATATGAGCGCCATCTCTGCCCGCCCCCTAGCTTAAATTGCTTATAACGAACAAGTGAGAAAGTGAACAGGGAGGTTAATGGTACAAACTTATGCATAACTATTCCCAAGTTGTGTGTATTAGATGGCAGGCTGGATCTGCAATTACAGGGGAGTTGTAGACTACCCACAGAGGTACATTAGTTAGGCCTGGCCCTTTTTTAGTTGGCTGAAGCTTTGTTGTTGTTGTTGTTGTTGTTGTTGTTGTTGTTGTTGTTGTTGTTGTTGTTGTTAGTACCTATTACATTGCCTGATCCTGTCCATATTGTAAAGGATGTGTAAAACATTCTTTTAAGAAGAAAATACCTCATCCACGACCCTTTAAAAAGATGTCCTTCAGCTCATTTAAAGGCAGAGACTTCACATAAACATTTAATAAAAAGTTCATATTCACATATGTCACTAATTCTAGTTATCAAAGGAAATTATAAATACTGCCTGAATGATAGATCTGTAGATTACTCTGACCATATACATCAGTGATTTAAACTAAGCACCAATTACTCTTTTCTTTTCTTTGCCAAGTACCACTAACTGACCAGACAGCTGTGTCTTTTGTTTAAACAACAGTATTGCTCATACACAGCTAAATAAAAGGTTGAGTTCACGCACATATACCCATCACTTGAGTGCAGCATCAAATGATAACCTGCATGTGTACAATAATGCTAATACTCTGCATCAGCTCAAACACAACTCATATTCTACAGTGACTACAAGTATTGTACATAAATAAATCAAAGGTTGCTTTGATTCCAATTTAAACTTCCAATTTAAGATACTAGATTTACAGTACACTTGTACCTTGGATCCCGAACGCCTTGTTACTCGGACGTTTTGGCTCCCAAATGCTGCAAACCCAGAAGTGAGTATTCCGGTTTGTGAATGTTCTTTGGCACCCGAATGACTGGTGAGGCTTCCTTGGCTTCTGAATGAAGCTCCTGTAGCGAATCAGAAGCCGCACTCTGGTTACTGAACGTTTAGGAAGTCAAACGGACTTCCAGAATGGATTCCGTTTGACTTCCAAGGTACGACTGTACAAGATAAGGAGAGCTGATGGAAAAGGTAAAGAAGGGAGATCTAACTGAAAATAGAGACTAGATATCAGGCTTTTTAAACACTAAGCAAATTTTCAAGTTGAGCAGTGTCACTTAGACCCAATTCACATGTAAAAGCACATTACTACATACCTCAGCATTTGATTACTTATCATTCAATGACTTTCAGCTGCAGTGTGAAATCTACTGTTCCTTACATATAATAGAGATGAAAGTTAATTTTTTAAAAAAAATAATGTCAAAGAATTGCCCTCACACTAGACAGTCTGAATTATCCTTTGTTCTCTTGGTACATTCTGGCCCCAAAGCACATCATTCAGATTCAACATGCTACCACTCTCCTCCTTGAAACTGGTATTTGTTAGCAGAACTCCTGCAATTGCAGTTTTAAGAGCAAATGTCATTAAAAAAAAGAAATACCTTTCACAAATCTAATGCCTATGGAATGTCTTTTCGGAATGCTTTGATTGGAACAATATTAGCCCCAAACAGTAGCTGTTGTCATCTGATACGTTATCCTTCCAAAATTGACACACAGCTTAATCAGAAGTTTGCTTTAGATGTTTTCCTTCCAGGAACAAGTTAAGAAAACCGAAAAGGACCACAAAGAAGAAAGGAGAAAGGGCAGGGTGTGTATGAAACTATTGGTATTCAAAGCATTGCACTTCTAACTACTAATTATTAACCAGGTTCACAGTGTTTCTTCTGCCTATCCAGGCAGACGAATATAAAGAACATGCATGTGTCCATATGTGTGGTTTTCCTAATACTTTGGGTGCCTCTGGAGTAATTTAGAAAAAGTAGGTCACACACGGGAGCAGAATTGGCTCATGGTAAGCATCACTAGTATTTCATCCAACTTCAATCAGACTTTCCTTTTCCAAGGTAGTACCCAAAATACATAAACATTCAGCCAGTATGCATTTCCACAGGCACATGATCTTTTCATAACAAGGTAGGTCCTTTGGTTGGTCTGTTCTTCAACATAAATGGATGACACCCTATGTCTTTAGTTTTCTGTCTTTCTGCCTGTGGAGACAGTGTCGCTGGAGCAGAAAGATGGTGAGCAGCTCCCTTTTGCTGATGGAAATCGTTAATATAACTAGCAATCAGTAGCGTAATCTCAAGAATCTAAAAAAATTGAAATAGCAAAAATTAGAGATGTAGAAGACCATCTGCACATCTAAAATGTTTGCAACTCTAAGCAAACAGGGCTATAACCTACAGCATATTAAGAGGCTGAACTTAAGTGGTATTTCCAAACTAACGATATGAATGTCAAGAGTGAGAAATGTTAGGTAGGAAGCTGTACAAATATAAGATGGGGAACACCTGGCTTCTTAGTAGTACACGTGAAAAGGATCTAGGGGTCTTAGTGGACCACAAGTTTAACATAAGTCAACAGCGTGATGCAGCAGCACCAAAAAGAAAAGCTAATGCTATTCTAGGTTGCATCAACAGAAGTATAGTGTCCAGATCAAGGGAACTAACAGTACCACTCCATTCTGCCTTGGTCAGACCACATCTGGAATACTGTGTCTAGTTCTGGCGCCACAATTTAAGAAGGATATTGACAAGCAGGAGTGTGCACACAGGAGGGCAACCAAGATGATCAAGGGTCTGGAAACTAAGCCTTATGAGAAACTATTGAAAGAGCTGGGTATGTTTAGCCTGAAAAAAAGGATACTGAGAGGAGATATGATAGCCACCTTAAAGCTTGTTTTCTCCTGCTCTGGGGGGTAGGACTCGAACCAATGGCTTCAAGTTACAAGAAAGGAGATTCTGACTAATTATCAGGAAGAATTTTCAGACAGCAAGAGCTGTTCAACAGTGAAATGGACTCCCTCAGGAGGTTGCGGACTCTCCTTCATTGGAGTTTTTAAGCAGAGGTTAAAAAACCATCTGTCATGGATGTTTTAGTTGAGATTCCTGCATTGCAGAGGGTTGGACTAGATGACACTTGGGGTACCTTCCAACTCTGCAATTCTATGACTCTATATACAAGATAACAAAGGACCAGTTAACATACCAACCTTTGGTTTGGCCATAGCAAACAACAACTTTTCAGTTTGCTTTTCTTGTGTGTGCACATTGTTGACCACCAGCATGAAGTCATCTTGATAGCCTCCAAATGTCATTAGGTTCTTATATAAATATGTGACTATTAACCTCTTGAAAAATAGAAGAAAAAACAAAAGTTTCATGCAAGCAGGAAAAAGAGCAAAAACAGATTTTTTATAGTTTGAATATAATTTCATTACAAAATCTGATGAAAATATGCTAATTAATAATTATAAATGTCTTTTTAAAAGATTCTAGTGGATGGCACCATATGTAGGCATATGGAGAATTAAACGTGATGCATTTCTACTCAGAAGAAAGTCTGGTTGTGTTCAGTGTGCTTACGGTTAGCTAAGTTTGCAAGAATTGCAGCCGACATCTTTCCATTACATGACCAACACCATATATGCCCCAATAAGCTATTTTGTGGCAGGCTCACTGCATACTGTGGCTACACATGCCCACCAAGACCTTTCTTAGTCCTCACCATTCCTTGGTACTCCTTCTGCATTGCCATTTTAAGCCCGAAAGAAGCAATTGCCAACAAGAAGCTTCTTTCAAGCCTAACTGTAGTGGGGGGAGGTTTTTTGGGGGTGGGATGGGCTGGGGGTCACAACTGCAAAGGGAAGGCTCAACTGCCCTGTCTTCAACTGCGACACACACCCTGCTGAAAAAGACTTTCTGCTGCAATCAGGCTTGAAAGAAGCCTTGTACTGGAGGCAACAGAATGTTTTGTATTTTGTTTCCAAACCTAATTGCAACAGGGGATGGGTTTTTTTTTGCGGGTTGGTGGTGGTGGTCACAGTTGGCGAGGGGAGAGCTAACCCCGCCCTCTTCCCAGCTGTGAGCCTGAATTATAACAAATAAAGGCTTGACATATCTCTCTTTGCATGTCATGAGTCTATCTCATATACAGTGGTACTGCAAGACGAATGCCTCGCAAGACAAAAAACTCACTAGACAAAGGTTTTTTGAGCTCTTCGCAAGACATTTCCTAGGGCTTGCTTCGCAGAGAACGTCTTGCAAGTTTTGTTCTTTTTCTTAACACCGTTATACATTGCGACATTGACTTGGGGCAACTCATAGAAAGTGTGGTATTTTTGAGTTTTTAAAGACTTGGTGAAGCTTTCCAAACTTCCCGAGTCTTCGCACGAAAAACAAGGTAGAATTAATTTCGTCTTGCGAGGCAACTGTATTAGTTTCACCTTTTAAGTTGAATTACTGAAATACATGAACTTTTGCCACGATATTCTAATTTTCCGAGTTTCACCGTAGGTTGGCAACCCATGTCCTACATCATATTTATTTATTTAAATCTGGTACCTACCCTTCACTGCAAAGTCCCAGGTAGGGTGCATATAATCAATAAAACATACAAAACAATATTAAAATATCACTTTAAAGCAGAATTAAAACACAAAAGATGACTACATTGAAGAAGGTGGAGCGGGGGGGGGGGGGAGAAACAATCTGATCTAAAATAATTCATGTGCTCCCAAAAGCCTGGGTGAAGAGTAGATCTTTACTAAGCAGCAAATAAAGTACCATCAAGGGGCCAGGCACACCTCCTAATAGAGTCAGTTCCATATCTGGGAGGCACCGTAGAGAAAGCATTCCCATCTGTCACCATTCCTTGCACATCAAAGGGTGGCAGTACCGCAAGCAAGGGCCTCCCCTGCTGATCTTAAATTTTGGGCACGTGTACATGGGAGAAGATGCTCCATCAGATATTGAAATGATACGGGCTTTGCACAGTAACATATAACTTAAACTGAGCTTGGAAACAAACTGATAACCAGTGCATGCCTTGGAGGGCAGGTGTAATAGATGTTCTGCTAATACTGCTGTTTAGCACCCGGCCCACTGAACTGTGCACCAGTCGTAGCTTCTGTGCAGCCTTCAGAGGCAGCCCTATGTAGAACACCACACGAAGGTTACCAGCACATGGCTCATCAGCCCAACTATTTCTATCCAGAATATTTATCTTCATATAGACATGTGTATGGGGACGCAGGTGCCGTTGTGGTCTAAACCACTGAGCCCAGGGCTTGCCGATTGGAAGGTTGGCAGTTTGAATCCCCGCGACGGGGTGAGCTCCCGTTGCTCAGTCCCAACTCCTGCCAACCTAGCAGTTCGAAAGCATGTCAAAGAGCAAGTAGATAAATAGGTACCGCTCTGGTGGGAAGGTAAACGGCGTTTCCATGAACTGCTCTGGTTTTGCCAGAAGCGGCTTAGTCATGCTGGCCACATGACCCGGAAAAACTGTCTGCAGACAAACGGCGGCTCCCTTGGCCAGTAAAGCGAAATGAGCGCTGAAACCCCAGAGTCATTCGTGATTGGACTTAACTGTCAGGAGTCCTTTACCTTTTTTTTAGACGTGTATATATTAATGCATGCTTGTGTGTGTTCGTGTACATGTAGTAATACTTGGAAAATAAAAACAAACGCAGAGACAGACTAAAATTAGCACATATTTTCTTCTAATGGCAGCCCCTCTCATAGGGTGCAGCTTTAAAGGAACCCTTCCTTTCAGAATACTTTTTGGGGTAAATGCCATTGTAAGGTACGGACACAAAAGTTCCCACACATAAACGGAACACTGCATATGGCACTTGAGAGAATAATTTCACATTAGTGCTTATTAAAATGCAAACCTTTAGGCAATTCCTTTAATAGTTAGCTGCTTAGTCTGTTAGTTCAGATTCTAAGTGCATGGGACATATTAATCCATTGCACAAGTTTGTTAAAGATTAATGGAGAGAGAATGTATTGGTTAACATGGCTCACAGATTTTGTATTACCCCTTTCTTTACCCAGCATTTCAACTATCTTCCCTTACCATAGAGCTGTATTCAAGAATATTTATGCCATCTTCATAAACAGCAAGCCATACCAAAGAACTCTCCAATGTTGATATTATCAGAGGCTAGAAAGAAGATATACTGAAATTAGCTACAATTACGAAACTGAATAAAAGTGAACTAATTGAAGCACTGCTTTAAATTTGTGAGGTAGAGGATAGTCAGATACGAGAAAAAGAGAAGCGACTGAAGGCAAGCTATAGAAGTATTTTTGCATTTCTGAGGTGACAGAGAAAAACGGTATCATTATTATATAGTTCCATTTCTGTGTGAACATTACACTTGTTAATACTGAATTGCATTTAAAAGCATAGGTCCCATTAACCAATCCTTTCCACATCCCTCCATTTGAAGAACTATACATTTATTCCTAGTCTATGCTTCCTAATGAATTCCTGATCCATAAGAGGACCTCTCCTCTTATTCCATGACTGCTAAGTTCATGCAGGAGCCTTTGCTGAGGTACTTTGTCAAAAGCTTTTTGAAAGTCCAAGTACACTATTGTCAAAAGGATTGCTTTTATATATCTACTTATTGACAGTATGTGCCCTTGCCGAAGCTGAACTGTCTCTATTTCAGCAAGGCTTGTTATTCTATATGCTTGGTTATTTTATCTTTAACAATACTTTCCACTAATCTTCCCAGGATAAACTTTAAGTTAATTGGCCTATAGTTTCCAGGAACAACCCCCACCCTGGAAACCACATAGCCTTGTCCTCCATGAATTCGTTTTTGTTTTACCTCCACTCTCAGAGGCAGCATAGCTCTGAATACTGGTTGCTGGGAATTGCAGGTGGATGGACTTCTGTTGTGCCCATCTGGTTGGCCACTGATCCAGCAGGTTTGTCTTATATGGGAATGGGACAAATCTAGAAAGCCTCATGCACCAACTTCTCTGCTACTTACAAGTTTAACTCAGGGTAGACTCATTAAAATTAAGGAATGTGGGTCAATTAGGTGCATGGGTCTCCTTATGCATACAGGATTGCAGTCATGCTGCAATCCTGCCCACTAGGGTGGGGAACTAGTGCCCCCGATGGACTACAACTCCCATCATCCCTAGCCACTGGCAATACTGACTGTGACTGATGGGAATTGGAGTCCAAAGACATCAGGAGGACCCAGGTATACACACTTATCTGTGTGGCTCTGCCTGCATAATTGATGAAAGAAAGAAAGAAAGAAAGAGAAGAAAAGTCTTACTTTTGCTGCAAATAATTTGGCACCAAAGAAAGGCCACTTTCGAGCAACAGCAAGGTAAATGCGCACACAATCTGCAGCACTGTGACCACGGAGAGCCATCCATTTTGTTGAGAGTCGCTGACAAAGCTGTCTATTGACATTAAGCATAAGGATGTTTAAGTCATAAGTAGCAGGGAGAGGGAGAAGCAAAACAGCATTTCAAATCAAAATGCAACATGTGATAATCAAGTATTCTGCTATCTCAGTCTACAAATTAAAATTGGCCTCTTAAGAAATGGAATAAAAAAATGGGCCACCTGAAAATAGTGCTCCATTCCTTTCTCTCTCTTCCCAAAGCCCAGGCCTACTCTAAGTCTGCTGGTGGAGTTTTAAATTTCAGTAAAATTTCCACTTTTGTTTGCGCAAGGAATGGTGTAATGGCAGGAGACCATTTCTAAATAACTGGAGAATAGGGATATGTGGCCGGGGAAATGATTACAGGTCACAAGGCTAGGGCAGTTAATCCGAGAATATGTTTTGGCAGACAATAGCATCATTTCTTTTGAAGGTATTTATACTGCCCATCATTCAGAGATCTGAGGTTTTGCAATGAGTAAGACAATAAATCTAATTAAATAACAACACTAAAAAATGAAAAAGACTAAAAACTGCACTTTCCCCATTCAGTTTGTTTAAATGGGGGGTGGGGGTGGGGGAGAGTAAAGACTTTAGCAGAATACCTCAATTGTTCTTCTAAACATCCATCCCTATATCTTTTGGGGTAAAACTTTTCCACAACTTGCTTTAAAGTTTGATTAGATTTTGACTGGGAAGTGATTTGCCCCGTTGGAGTTGAGAAAGGTCGTTCAAAGTCCCCAATCTCCACCTAGTAGATATGCAAAGAAATAGGTAAGATTGTTTTTACATACATATTTCTGCACTTCAATGTTATTTCAGTACCTACAGTCTACAGTGGTACCTCGGGTTACATACGCTTCAGGTTACATACGCTTCAGGTTACAGACTCCGCTAACCCAGAAATAGTGCTTCAGGTTAATAACTTTGCTTCAGGATGAGAACAGAAATCGTGCTCCAGCGGTGTGGTGGCAGCAGGAGGCCCCATTAGCTAAAGTGGTGCTTCAGATTAAGAACAGTTTCAGGTTAAGTACGGACCTCCGGAACGAATTAAGTACTTAACCTGAAGTACCACTGTAATATGTAATTCTCAAGTATCTGCCAATTATATTACATTTATTGAATAAATAACATTATGAGCTGTGATAACAAGAATCTATGAGCTATTTCATATTTAATAGATGAACTGTGAATATTAATGGGGCACACACGCAGAAAAGAATTTCATGGAAGAGTCTAACACAGTCTTCACCAACCTAGTACCCTCCAAATTTTTTGGGCTACAACTCCCACCATCCCCTGCTAGCAAAGGATCCAGGTATTCCTTCAACCCCCCCCCATCCTGAATTGAAGATTAAATCCAGTTTGTGCCCTGCCATATGAGTTGGTTGATAGGCAACTTGTGACAACCCCATGGTTGCCATGGAGGGCATGAAATCCAAAGCTAGACCAGTCAAAGCAACCTTGGTCTGAAGCCACTCAGACACACCACCCTGGTGTTCTCCAACACTATGTTCAATATTACCTCCAATATCTTGGTCAGGGAGACCATTAGGCAACAGAGTAAACCAACAGCACCCACCATCTGTCCAGCTGGCCCAACAACAGTTAAAAGGTCCACTCCAAGACGAAAAGGGTTTTCTGGCAAACTGAATGCATGTCATATGGACCACAGGGACAGCCAACCATGGTTGGTGCTCCACTGAGTACCTGAAGGTGGGCAGAGGCCAGCCAAATCTACTTCTCCCAATTCACGCCCCCACCCCCCACTCCCAGTCTTGGTTATACAAGGCAAGTGAGCTTTGTTGGACTTTGACTGGGCAGACTTGGATTCTAATACAATTCAGTCAGGAAATTCACTGGGTGACCTTGGGCCAGTCACACAATTTTGGCCTATCTCACAGGGTTGTTGTAAATTTAAAAAACAGAATAATTCCATGTATGCTGTCCTAAGATACAAAATGTGATTGTTAGATTTATCTACTATTTCATATTACAAAAGAAATTTGTGGAGGGTACTTTTAAATTACAAATCTGGTCAACCACAAATGATCCTTACCTGTGCCATAAGTGCTGCCAGTTCTAGTGCCAGATCTTTGTTTACAGGGAAAAGCCCGTTTACAATTTGATCGTTTGTCTGATACATCAACAGCAGCTTTTCCCTTTCTGTCTCCCCACGTATTTGAACTGAAAAATACAGCCTACAAAAGAAAGAGTGACAAACTACAAATTGAACAAATTGAAACTACAAACTACAATTGAAAATTGCACGAGTATACCCAAGTAACTAAATGAAAAGGTACTAGTATTACAGATGCAACATAATACTCATTCCGCATGTGTAAGAACTCAATCATTTAGTGTAGCAGCACCTGTACTTTGGAACTCCCTGCCTATTGATATCAAGCAGGCGCCTTCACTGTACTCTTTTTCACACCTGCTTAAAAACATTCTTGTTTAGACAAGCCTACCCAGTTGCTTGGGACGCAGGTGGCGCAGTGGTCTAAACCACTGAGCCTTGGGCTTGCCGATCAAAAGGTTGGTGGTTTGAATCTCCGCAACGGGGTGAGCTCCTGTTGTTCTGTCCCAGCTCCTGCCAACCTAGCAGTTCGAAAGCACGCCAAAAAAAGTGCAAGTAGATTAATAGGTACTGCTCCCGCAGGAAGGTAAATGGCGTTTCCGTGCTCTGCTCTGGTGTCGGTGTTCTGTTGCGCCAGAAGCGGCTTAGTCATGCTGGCCACATGACCTGGAAAAACTGTCCACAGACAAACGCCGGCTCCCTTGGCCTGTAAAGCGAGATGAGCGCCGCAACCCCGAGACGTCTGCAACTGGTCTTAACTGTCAGGGGTCCCCTTACCTTTTACCCAGATGCTTGAAAGTGGAGGTAATTTTAATCTGTTTTAGTATTTTAATTTTTGTATGTTTTAAAGTATGGTGATTTTTTCTTCAATTTTATTATTTTATCTTTTTGCAAACCGCTTTAAGGGTTTTTTTTTAAATTAAGCAGTGTATAATTTTTATGAAATAAATAAAATTCACCATCAGTTCTAGTAAGGACTTGAAATTGTGCTATTCAACGGTCAGATAATGTGAAAGCTAATGATGCTCTGTATAAATACCTGGAGGAATAATTAATAGCTTTAAACAGACTTCATTTCTGTAGGCCAATGAAATTAGCATCCTCTTTAATGCTAAATTGACAATAACCCTGCTGAAACATCTGTACCTTGATAGGAATTGGCCCATTATCATCTGGATAGCCACAAGTTCCCCATTCCTGGCTCATGGGCTTAACTTCTTATTAAACTATTAATTCACATGATGACTTCCTTGAGCCCTGGAACTGAATTCAGTTATGAGAGCTCATCTGTGGCTGCAAATAGACTATAAATATATCTAAGAGCAATGACTCCTAGGAACATGTTTGTATTACATACCTGTTTTTGTAAGTCAGTCTCACTGTTCTTGTGCCTTCACATTTCCCAGGCTGCTGCTCTTTAGATGCCTGCTCCCATCGAGAAATAATGTCACAGATCTACAAGGAAAACCACAAGGCAGAACACAGTTATGGCAAAATATGCCCAAACAGAATTTGTACACTTTAGTTAGTATTGATTTTACAGCAATAATCACCAAAAACTTAAGTTGTAATTCTATGCAAACTTTTCTGGGGGTGAACCCCATTTAACTTAGTGGGATATGAGTAAACACACACAGGTCCCTAGAAATACTAGCGACATCTGACCTGGAGCTATCACTGAAATTAATGTGACTTATGACCATTTTGTTACCATGATAATGGAAAACATTGTGCATGACAAGTATGCCATACTTGTCTGCTGTAGGCCTTACCCCATAAATTTGTGTTAAATATTTGTGGAAAATATTGACATCATCAGAGTGTCCTCTGTGTGGATAGTGGTGTAGAACTTTCCCCACTTCCTGTTTAGCAATACACCACAAACCCATATGGGAAACTGTTATAACACCATTCCCATGTATCACAAAGTCACCAAAAATATCCCCATAAATCCTTTTCAAGTTCCCCCTGTCTTCCCACAGCTATCTTTAATGAGCTTTCTAAAACTACCATTTGTGCTTAAAACAATCAAGCATTTGTTTGCTTCCCCCCGGTCAATGTGCGCCAAGAAAAATGAAACACACTTAAATAAGGAAAATGTTTTCTTTTGCAACTCAAAGGTAATTTTGACTGTGAGCTCATTAAAGGGATTGTTTACCTTGATGTTTCCTTGAAGACAGTGTTCTACATCTTTGCCAGAAGGATCATCAGTAAACAAAGCAAAACCCGACTGGGCTGGTTTTCTCATTCCTGTGTCTTGATTGAGTGTGTTTAGAAATTCTTCCACTGTGGTAGAAGCATCAAAGCCAACAACCTAGACAAAACAAGTGAAACATAAAAGTGAAATAAGTTCTCACAAAGCTTAGATTTTGAAGAAGCAAGTAATGTGGTGAAAATCTTGGTACATACAGAGGGTTATATCCAAAGATGCTCTTCCATTTACAGAATGTATCCTGTGGAAGGTAAGTTTCAGATCCAAACCATACATTTTTTAAAGAAAAGCACAAACTATTTATCCAATGGATAAAAAATATCAATCTGTTTGTTGACGAGGAAGAAATTAGAGCCACAGCATCTTTAAATATTTCTGACAGCATAACCAATACCATCATTTTACGGTTCACGCCTACCTGGTATATGCCATTCATGAAATGCACTGGAATACTAAAAGGTAAGGAATGATGGTAGGGATTTCTTAGAAGTGTAGAAAGAATTTCCATTCTTGATGGTCTGGCTTCCCTGTCACCATTCTGTTGTGTCCTTTCTACACATCGTTGACAGTAAATTGCGTATTTTCCAAATTCAGTTCTGTGAACACAAAACAAGGCTTCATAACAAACTGAAAGCAGCAGGGATTTCAACAGATTATTTTAACATATAATGGTTAAACAATATGTTCAAGAATGTTTTTAACAAGTCATATGAAAATCTATTCTGCTTCTTTCTTCCGATCCCCTACTAAGAATGGTTATATGAGTCGGACAGGGATCCAAACGTGAAACGTAGGATGATGTTGTGAATATGCACACCAACAACTGAGTTTTTGAGTGAGATAATATTATAATGTCTTTTCATATTTTCCTGGTCTTCTTTAACATAGGTGTGAGGGATCAGGTAAAATGCATGTGTGTCTACTAACTTTTATTCCAATAACACAGTTTCCAAAGTTGAAAAACTTGAAAAACAGAATGATAGTGTAATGCCGATGACCCCATTTCAATATTCAGTGGAGTTACCACTTTATAAATGGGCAAACTAAAGGCTTTATATTACTTGGGCAGGGAACTAACATGAAACATGTAAATTAACACCAATACCAATGGAGCAATGTCAATAACTAACATGAAAAAGAATTAACATCTGTAGACACAATAGTGCTGCATTTCTATGGCCATTAAATTATACTCGTTCATAACAGAAGGCAATCATTTAGCATTTGATGGTCTGATTTTCCTGTAAGGTATACCTGGAATCTGCATTCTTCTTCAAGTGAAGTTTGATGAGCCAAAGGAATGGGTGCTGTGGAAGGAAGAGTCCAATGCAGAGTGCTAAAAGCTGCCAGGCCTGGGCAAGGAGAAAGATCAGCATCATAATCTGAAGTTTCTTTCAGAATCAAGCAGCCTCCAAGCACAAGGAGGTTTATGAACATAGTGGACATTGAACAACCAGGAACGTAGGCCAAAGAAGATGCCCCATTTTTGAACTCACTCGTCTCTCTTATTCTGCTGCCCATTTTTCATTCCATGCCCTTCCCCTTCCTTTCCTGCCACCCGCCTTATACAGAGACTAACCATATTGTAATCTTCTGTATCGTCCTCCACCTCCACATTGTAACCAAGAAGTTTTGGTACAAACTCATCCAAGTCAATCCCTCAGGACAGGTGTAAAAGTGTTCAGTACCTGCACTGGTCCCATCTGATTTGGGGGCTGCCGCCTTCTTGTCTGCTTAACCAACTGGCAACAGATTTCATTTTGAAGCTCTGGATGTGTGAGACAGACTTGTAAAGCACTTTGGGCCAAAGATACATGGTAGTCAATGGCAGGAGAGTCCACTGCAGCATTTATAAACAACTGGCAAGTCTGCAACAGAGAACAGGAAAAAAATAATTTCCGTTTTGCATTTTTAATTTAATTAAATCTAATTTTTTTGGGGGGGTTGCATATAAACTTAAACTGAATTACAAGGGTATAAAAAATCCAATTTAAACTTGAAAGAACTTTGTCTTCGTTGACAATGGGTGGCTGATGTACAGATATAGTAATTTGGAGAACGGCAATCAGTTCTATGGAACCAACTGCTAGCTGGTTCCTCCCTTCCCAGAATTATCAGAATGTATGAAGCTGCCTTGTACCAGATTAGACTATTTGTTCGCTTAACCCAGTGCTGTCTACTCTGAGTGACTATGGCCTTCTATGGTCTTAGGCAAAGGTCTTGTACATGACCTGCTGTCTGATCTTTTAAGAGGCAATGCTAGGGACTGAATTTAGGACCTTCTGCATGCAAAGCATATGCTCTGCTTTACCACTGAGCCATACTCTCTCCCATAAATGTTTCCTTCACAAACCACCTCCCCAGTTCTATTGTGTAATTTATTTATATAACATCATGAAAGAGCTGTATTATGAATTTGTATATTTCCCTCTTCCTCACTCTCAGCCATTATTTGAAACTGTAGACTGTCTTTGGCACTTTGGAAGCAAGGTGGTTCATAAGTGTAGGAAGTGAGTCAAAGAAACACACATGCACTGCTACGAGAGAGTACTTCCTTCATAATTCTGGAGCACCTTCCCTATAGAAAACTATCAAAGCCAATGTCTGGGCACATTTAGGCATTTCTGCAAGGCTGGTTTTTGAAAGTCACTATTCAAATTCACAGTCCTATGTGTGTTTACTCAGAAGTAAGTTTACTCAGAAGCGATGCTGCTTCTAATCAGGCTTACTCCCTATTAAATGTTTTTAGGTGTTTAGCTTTATAATGCCTCATTTACCTAGAAGTCCCATTGAACTCATGGGACTTACTGTCTGAGCAGTCATGAAAAAGGTGCACTATAATATGCATTCTATACCATTTCAAATAAAATATACTAAAAGAATAAAATCATTCCCAACCACAGAAAAAGTTACTTTTTTTTTTTACCTTAAATAATTTTAAAGCTTCTGTTTGCAATGCTTCAGATGGGAGGGTTGTAAGAGGAGAAGTAATCCCATCTTTGCTGTGACAAAGTGCAGGGTGCCTCCAGATCTGGGAAGCTGGGACACAAAAAGAGACAGTCTTCTATTTAAAGTAATAACATTATTATTTAGAACTAGTCTTTTGCAGTTTCTTAAGAGAGACCTAACATGAAGTTGACAAGCTGATGGGTTCGGTCAGTCAACCAGCTACAAATCCACCTAACAGTTACGCCATTCACCCCACATTTTACTAGGTTCCTCGCAAGAATATAATAGGGGGCTTTGTCAAAAGCTTTACTGAAATCAAGATATATTACAAGGCCTGCTGGGCCACATTCAACCTCCAGGACTGAGGTTCCCCAACTCTGCTCTACAAAAAAGTTAAGACATACATACAAATTTAAAGGAGTGCCTGACTAACCCATCTTTGAGAAGAGATGGAGAGGCCTGGCTCATGAGCTCATCCAAGGGCATGGCCCGTGGTATGGTTACTTGAGACAGGGCCTTCTCTGTGGCAGCACCCAACTATGGAATTCCTTTGCTGGGAAAATGCAATTGTCCCCCTGTGCAGTTAAGTTTCAGTTCTCTACTATGCTTTTGAAACATGTACTGGGTCTTAACAGTATTATTGTCCAGCTGTATATTATTATAAAGGTAAAGGTAAAGGTACCCCTGCCCGTACGGGCCAGTCTTGACAGACTCTGGGGTTGTGCGCCCATCTCACTCAAGAGGCCGGGGGCCAGCGCTGTCCGGAGACACTTCCGGGTCACGTGGCCAGCGTGACATCGCTGCTCTGGCGAGCCAGAGCCGCACACGGAAACGCCGTTTACCTTCCCGCTAGTAAGCGGTCCCTATTTATCTACTTGCACCTGGGGGTGCTTTTGAACTGCTAGGTTGGCAGGCGCTGGGACCGAGCAACGGGAGCGCACCCCGCCGCGGGGATTCGAACCGCTGACCTTTCGATCGGCAAGCCCTAGGCGCTGAGGCTTTTACCCACAGCGCCACCCACGTCCCGTATATTATTATAGCTATGCTGTTTAAAAATGTATTAAAATTATAATGTACAAGTGACATACTATTTATTGTTTTGTTCACCACCCTGGGCTCCATTGAGAGGAAGGGAGTTATATAAACAAAACTATTCATCATCATCATCATCTTGGAAAAAGGAACTATTTCACATAAGGCAAGATGTGTGTGTACAAATATTTGTACAAATAGTCCAGCATAATACCACATATGCTTTTACTAAATCTACATTTCCCCCTGTGCTCTTTCCTCAAAGCATTATGCAACCATTTTAAAAACACTATTTGAAAAAAGTAGCAACAATGCTTCCTAAATGTTATTTTATTTTTGAATGGGCAAACCCCCAAATGATGTACTTGATGATTTGAAATCCTACGTAGGAGGCTTCAGTGTGTACTGTTTCAAACTTCTAGGGGGCAGAAATATCACTGTATTTTTGTAAAATGTTAATAGGCCCCTGCTACACCACTCCTGTCTAGTAAAATCACAGTGCTACTGACAGTGTCAAGAGTTTAAAGCTTTGATGGCTTAATTGAGACAAAGATTTTCTATCAAGTCTAACTATGACAGGTACGTTGAAGAGATATTTTTAATAAAATCAAATAGGTATATGTGCAAATCAAATGAAACAAGTTGAAAACATTCTACATATACCAGGTTTTCAGTTTGAAGAACTGGTCCATTGCACCTGATCTCCCCTTAACCAGGGCTGGGGAACTTATTTTAGGGGGGGATTCATGCTGGCAGTGGCTGAGGCCACCCCTTTTCTCTCTGTCTGCTACCCATTTTCTCCCTCCCCCCTTCTTTGTCCAGCAGGTTGCTAGGGAAAAGACAGACTTTTTGGAGAGGGTTTGTTACCCCATCTCCTCCATTTTCAGCGTTCCTCCCCTCCTGCTCTTCTCTCCCTCTGGGCTCCTCCATTTGCGTGGAATCATAGAATTGTAGAGTTGGAAGGGATCCTGAGGATTGCCTAGTCTACTCCCTGCAATGCAGGAATATGCAGCTGCCCCATACAGGATTTGAACATGCAACCTCATGCAACAGACAAGGACTGCTGGGGCAGCCTCTTCTACTTGGGAGAAAAAGTCCTATGTGAACTTTTTGAAAACTACAAGGTGGCATTGTATTTCCAATTTTTAAAAATGTCTGGAATAATACAGTGGTGCCCTGCAAGACGAACGCCTCGCAAGACGGAAAACCCGCTAGACGAAAGGGTTTTCCGTTTTGGAGGCGCTTCGCAAAACGAATTTCCCTATGGGCTTCCTTCGCAAGACGAAAGCCCATAGGGAAATCTCCGGGACAGCGGGGAAGCGCAGCGCGTCTTCCCCACTGTCCTCGGACCTCCTCCGAAGCCTGGGCGGCGGGGCGGGGACACCTCCTCCCGCCGCCCGGCTTCGGAAGGCTGCTCCGAAGCCGGGCGGCGGGGCGGGGACACCTCCTCCCGCCGCCCGGCTTCGGAAGGCTGCTCCGAAAGCCGGGCGGCGGGGCGGGGACACCTCCTCCCGCCGCCCGGCTTCGGAAGGCTGCTCCAAAGCCGGGCGGCGGGGCGGGGACACCTCCTCCTGCCGCCCGGCTTCGGAAGGCTGCTCCAAAGCCGGGCGGTGGGCGGGGGACACCTCCTCCCGCCGCCCGGCTTCGGAAGGATGCCTCCGAAGCCTGGCGGGGGGGGCGGAGAGACCTCCTCCCGCCGCCAGGCTTCGGAAGGCTGTCCTGAAGACTTGGGGTGGGAGAAGGGTTTTCCTTCCCACCGCCAACATTCAGAATGCTGTTCTGAATGCTGGCGGTGGGGAGGAAAACCCTCCTCCCACGCAAGCCCCGGGAACAGAGGAAAAGCGCTGCGCGCCTTCCCCTCTGTTCCCGTACCTGTCCTGAAGGCTTGCGGTGGGGAGAAAAGCCCTTCTCCGCACCGCCAGCCTGGCAAGCGGTTTCCATAGGAACGCATTAATTGATTTTCAATGCATTCCTATGGGAAACCGTGCTTCGCAAGACGAAAAACTTGCAAGAAGAAAAAACTTGCAGAACAAATTAATTTCGTCTTGCGAGGCACCACTGTAGCTTATTTTCTTATTTGCCAAGTTTGGAACAACTATACAGTCATATAATATAAGAACTAATTTCCAATAAAGGAAATTGACTTACTGGGTTCACCTTCGATATTTAACAACTTGCAGACAAGCTGTTCAAACTCTGTCCCAACGTTTATATTTGTGCTTCCAGCAGCAACTGTCAAGTGATAGAGCCAAGTGTCCTAGAAAATAAAAAAGATTATAAATTAGTTTTAGCTTTTATTTATTAATTAACTAGAACAACCTGGCATAAGCAAAAACCACACCATTGTAGATCAATCTACTCCCAAACATAAGTTTGGGTGGTATTCAACAAAGTTTTACTGAGAAGAGGCCCACTGAAATTAATGCAGTAGGTTTACTCTGAGTATAATTTAGTAGAATACCACATTTTGTACTTAAAAAAACCATTCTACATCCCAGCGTAATCAAAATATTACTAAAATTCTCCAATTTGCTTTGCTTCCAGCATACACACCCACATGAATACCATAAAGCTGTATAGAAATCTGCAGACCATACAATAAATACTTAAATTGAAAGATGTTAATATTCCACACACACCCTCAGCTTCTGAGGTTAAAGGGGAACTAAGGAAGCCTGAGGCTCACTTCAGCTCCTTCTTGCAACACTCAATTATGGTTTAGCATTACGTCTGAATCAGCACAGTGCCACTTACTTTTCCCTTTGATATACATTATTCTATGTTCACTATTGGGACGCGGGTGGCGCTGTGGGTTAAACCACAGAGCCTAGGACTTGCCGATCAGAAGGTCGGCGGTTCGAATCCCCGTGACAGGGTGAGCTCCCATTGCTCGGTCCCTGCTCCTGCCAACCAAAGTGCAAGTAGATAAATAGGTACCGCTCTGGCAGGAAAGTAAACGGCGTTTCCGTGCGCTGCTCTTGTTCGCCAGAAGCGGCTTATTCATGCTGGCCACATGACCCGGAAGCTGTACGCCGGCTCCTTCGACCAATAAAGCGAGATGAGCACCGCAATCCCAGAGTCGGCCACGACTGGACCTAATGGTCAGAGGTCCCTTTACCTTTACCTTTATGTTCACTATTAAAAATTGACTATAGACATATTATAAACCATTTTCTACCTTCTCATGCTTGGATCCTATAAGAAGGTAAGTGGGACCTTGTTCTTTAGGGTGGATGACGATTGTATAGTGTGTTGATAATAGGCTACGGCCACTGGCCTCATAATCTTCATCTGAATCACAGGACCGGTCAACTTCTTCAACTTTAGCCTCCCAAAGTTTTATCTGGCCTAAAGGAAACTAGAAGCAAAGACATCAGGTAAGGTAAATGAGAAAAGCATACTGGTAGAAAAACTGACAAACATCATACTAGGTTGTGTGTGTATATGTGCATGTAGGGGATACACCCAGTTATCACTCTTGTTGCCACTGTCCTAGCTATAATATACACACATTTCCTACCTACGAATGTTTCCTTCATCTAGAATTACAGGTTCAAGTTTTGTTTTCCGATAATAAATGCTGAATTTATGAAATTACCACTTTGTACCTACTCACACAGTCTCAAGAGAACTAAGAAATGACCTAGGACTTCCGACGTTGAAGTCACAAGTAAGTAGAAATGAATTCTAATACCTTAATAGGTTAAAAAGACATACCTTGTCTTCTTGGCTGCGGAAATAATACAAAGTTTTCCCAACCAGCATACACCACACTCTCTTGGAATATCCATGTTTCACCTGCAAGTGAATAAATTGAAGAATGACTAGTATGTACTGAGTATGAACCTATGATTCCTTTACTTTATTTTAAATACACAAGGGACCATTTTCAATGATAGAAATGTTGGAATGGTTTCTCCAAAAAGCAAATACCAGATTCAGACGATTGCAGTGGAGATAAAATGATTAAATTTCCCCTTCATGCCTGCTCTGATCACAACTGCCAGTTCCTCAAGCTTATATTGTTTGTATTTTTTAAAAGTTGAACGCTAAGAGGCATTTCATGTCACATCTAGTTTGCCCCTGGGAATTCTCAGAAAAAGCCCAGGAGTATGGTGAGCTTTTCCAGGGAAGAACAAAAACCCAGCCTTGAGAAGAATGCTCCTAGCTGTCCTTGCCCAAGCAAACCTTAACTTCAAGTTAACAGGTTGTGCAAAAATATTTTAATTTCCTTTGGTTTCCAATTCAATGAACTGGGCAAGGAGGCAGGAAATTGGAAGCCCCATGTACCTTTGCAGGAAATAACACTTCTGAGCATGCTCAGGAGTTTCCAAGTATAAGAATAAATCGACAAAGCCTTTACTGTCCCCAACAAGCCCTCCCCACCATCAGACTTCCGCCCCTTGCAAAAGTAAGGTTGTTTGGAGGGTACTGACCAGCAGTGGCTAACCCATTGTACTCAAATTTAGAAAAGATTTGGGCTGTGAATTGGGGAGTTGCTATATTCTCAAACTCCTATTTCTGAAATTCACCTTCATCTCTTAATTCTATCTGCTAAGAATTTGCTAATTTACAAAAGCAAAGCTGATAGTACTGGAGAATAAGGATTTCTACCTTGGTAAGCAAGCCTTTCATGGCAGGTTTGACATCTGGTTGAATGAAAAGTGGACTTGCAGCCTGTACTTTAAGAACATTCTGCAGTACTTTGATCCATTCTTCTAATATGTTTGGGGAATCTGCAGTCAAGTAATAGGTTCGTTTTTCAGTAGTCAGCTGCAAAGTGATGGAAGAAATAACCTTGAACTGTGGTAATACAAATCATCCTAACCACATTCTACTGGTACCTACATTTAAACATTAAGTATGTAATAAATAGAGTTTGAAGTTAACCTAGTTATACTGGGGAGGGGGGAGGCTATTAAGTATTTTAATTGAACAAATATTTCTTTACAAGTCATCAACAGATATTAAAAAATTCTCAGAGTAAATTCTTAAAGGATCATTCAGTTTCCATTCCAGGCATATCAAAGCCTCCTGAAAAATGTTATAAATCTTATCAGAAGTTATTTTAAGTTCCCTAAAATTTTCTACTTGATGCTTTACCCCAACAGGAGTTTCCTAATTCACTTCTGGAGACACCTGAAGCAGTTAACTGTGGACTCAGTGCTTCACATAGAATCATAGAATCATAGAGTTGGAATAGACCACAAGGGCCATCGAATCCAACCCCCTGCCAAGCAGGAAACACCATCAGAGCACTCCTGACATATGGTTGTCAAGCCTCTGCTTAAAGACCTCCAAAGAAGGAGACTCCACCACACTCCTTGGCAGCAAATTCCACTGTCGAACAGCTCTTACTGTCAGGAAGTTCTTCCTAATGTTTAGGTGGAATCTTCTTTCTTGTAGTTTGGATCCATTGCTCCGTGTCCGCTTCTCTAGAGCAGCAGAAAACAACCTTTCTCCCTCCTCTATATAACATCCTTTTATATATTTGAACATGGCTATCATATCAACCCTTAACCTCCTCTTCTTCAGGCTAAACATGCCCAGCTCCCTTAGCCGTTCCTCATAAAGCATCATTTCCAGGCCTTTGACCATTTTGGTTGCCCTCCTCTGGACACGTTCCAGTTTGTCAGTGTCCTTCTTGCGAATTTCCTCAATGGCTACACAACTTTGTCTTCATTAAAATGGCATCCCATATTATTATAGTAAATCTGGATTTACTATTTTCATGGAAAATCCAGTAATTAAAACCCCCCTGCAAAAACAGTAAATCTGGATTTAATGAGGAAGAGTGAATGGGGTGGTATTCTGATGAGGATGACATTATGTAGAAGCTGCAAAAAAACTTCTATGCATGAGCAGCACCTAGTCAATAAACGGCTGAGTGGAAGTGCTCTGAGTTCTACTGAAAATTCATTGTGCAAGACTAGTAAAATGTCACGAAGAAGGGGATTGTCCCTCTGCCTGTGTGGTCAGAGAAGGCCAAATTCTTTCATTATAGAACGTTAATGAAGTACCTGAACTGTTTGTTTTCCATCACCTCTTACAATACGGCTGGATGCATTTAGTTCAATCTGACCTTGGGGTTTACGTATTACATCACTCTGTAGGAGAGAAAAAAATGAGAAAAATGAGACTGATGATTTCCCCCTCTTTCAATTGATCTGATGGGATGAAAGGATTGCTAGGGATAGAAGAAACATCAAAAGGACCAGCTTCCCTCTTTCTTCACTGAAAGCATGGCCTTCTTGTCTACTTCAATGCCTCCTCACCAAAAGGTTTTCCTCCAGCAAAGGGCTAAGAAGACAAGCTGTGAAGCCACGTACTGTATATCTCCCAATGGCACAGCCAGAGCCTGGCTGAGAACTCATTGTGGCATCAGCTACAAATGCTGTTGCCCTGGAAATTTTCAGAAATGTCAGCATCTTATGTTATCTTAATTCTTGTTGTGGCTCATCTAGAAGATCCTCCAGCCACAAGATGTTCTATTGAAAACAGAATCAACCTGAATCTAGAAACCACACATGAAACTCTAATAGATAATGCATTCGACTTATGAATATGCTTTAGCTCCAGATCCAACTTGTGTTCTGTGAGGTCTCAAATTGAGCATCCCCATCCTTTGGATGCAGAGGGTGGGATACTAATCTAGCCACAGGACAATTTATGTCTGGGAACTTTCAGCTGCTCCACAACGAGTTGTCTCTAAAACATAACATTTATTAGCATATACCACCAAATGCATGTTGTGCAGTGGAATGCTTCACTCTGATGTGACCACATTCTGTAATGAAGAATCTGCTCTGGATTTAGCTGTTGAGTCAGGAAGAACAGACACACCTCTAGATGTGTGTGTGAGTCTGATGACTTATTCCTCCTTAAATCCAGAGAGAAACTATGTCATATTATTATTATTGAAACAGTCTAATTCTGAATAGACTGTACCCGTATGTCTGGACATTTTTGATAGGAATGCATATTTGATTTGTTAAAGAATGCTTGCATTCAAAATGAATGTGTCATGGGCCATCTAAGGATTTTGGGGTGGACAGAATTCCTCCCCAGAAGATGTGCCTAAAAGACATGCCCTAGGCAAGGTAAAGTGACTGACAAATTTACTAAACATACAAATAAATAATGTGCCTATCTAATTATTATTATTATTAATAATTATTATTATTTCAATCTATATACCACCCTTCATCCGAAGAACATTTCATAACAAAAATGCAAAATGAGAAGACAAAATGCATAATAAAACACGAACAAGAACAATGCAATAACCCCCCCCTTCCACACATTTAAAAGGCCATAAATTGTTTCATCAGCCAAAGATCTAGTTATAGAGAAACATTTTTGCCTGGTGCCTAAAGATATGTAATGAAGGCCCAAACAGACAGAATCAAATTTCTTGACAAGTTCTGATGCAACAGTTGTACACTGGAATCTCCTTTTGAAATTCTCTTTTCGAGGAGAACAGAAACTTTCAGGTCATCAGGGAAAGGCCATAGCTCAGAAACATCTAGTCAGTAGGGGAAGGGGCATGCATAGCTTTGGGCAAAACAGCCCCATGTTTGTTCTCTGGTGTCATTGGGTAGGGCCAAAACCTTGGAGACACCACATCTTGTGCAAAGAGGATACTGGAAGCTTTTGCCCTGTTCTTTGCAAATTGTGGTTTACTGAAACCAAATTCAAATATTGACTTATGAAGCTGGCTTGTTTCAAGAGAACATAGGTTAACCACAGTTTAGGGTTTGGAAGTAACAAGAAAGTAGAGGGAATAGGAAGCACATGAATGAAAGAATCACCTAGGTTCGTTCCCATAAAGATAACCATAGTCTAGTGGTTTTCAACCAGTGCACCATGGCTTCTGTCCCTCTTTCCTCTCCTCCCTCCTCTGATGCCTTCTTGCGTATCTGCCTCCCAAAGGCTTGAACTGCTGTTTGTTGCAGCAGCCGTGGCTACAAGCTCAGCAGGTGAATGATGCTCTGGGGCTGGTCAGGGGGTGCTGGTTGCCAGGAGCTGAGGTGGCCTCGGAGTAAGCAAACGGGCAAGGGAGTCCAGCCAACTGCTCTGCTAGCCCTTGCTGTTGGGAAAGGACAGACAAGTCCCAGGTCCCTGTAGGGCAGTGTAAGGTGGCACCTCTCTTTGGGGTGGGGGGCAGCTCAGAGACCAGGGGAGGCAGCAGCGGCTGCCCAGAGGACTCTCAAGGAGAAGAGGCTGAGGAAACACTCCGCAAGGGAAGGTGTTCGAAAAAGGGTGAGACACTGCCAGCTCTGCAGGCAAGGGGTGACATAACTGGGCTCCAACAGGAGCAATTACAATAGTGGCATATGAGCTGTCCCCAGGAAGGCTGTGGCTATGGCCAGGCTCCTAATGCACTCTGGGGCTTTTGGAAGCACACACTAAAACTGAGGATGTGGTGGACTTCTGTGTCCTTCCCAACACGGCTAAAGCAGGCTTACTTAGATCACATGGGTAACACAAGGGGAAGTCTCCAAATTTAAACTTGCTGCAACATGTTCCTCTTTCCCTCCCTTTTGAAGAGAGATCTCCAGTGATCAACTGACATTGCTCTTCTGTCATAAGGTCTGCAACCAACCAATAGATGCCCAATGGTAGGCTGATTTGCAGCAATTGATGCATTCAAACTCATAATACTATAAGCAAAATACAATAAAGAACTTGCTTACCGGAGATTTGTAGTACAGCAATTCACCTCCTTTGAGTACAAACCACCGTCGTTTCCAAGTCTTTACTTTACCACCCATTTTTAACAAATATCCTGATTTTTCCAATGGCTCCTATAATTTAAAAGGTATTTTTTAATGTGTTGAAGGGTAATTATGATTTATTTTATTTCCCTTAGCTATACAACTGTATACAGCTGTAATGTAGAAGTGTAAAACTTGATTGATCTGCAAGTCTTACTGGTGAGAGTTAATAAACCAAATGCATGGAAAAGCTTCATTGTGCATAAGAAAGAACCCATCAACACCTTGGTAATATGGATTTGGATTTGATATCCCGCCTTTCACTCCCTTTAAGGAGTCTCAAAGCGGCTAACAATCTCCTTTCCCTTCCTCCCCCACAACAAACACTCTGTGAGGTAAGTGGGGCTGAGAGACTTCAAAGAAGTATGACTGGCCCAAGGTCACCCAGCAGCTGCATGTGGAGGAGCGGAGATGCGAACCCAGTTTCCCAGATTACGAGACTACCGCTCTTAACCACTACACCACAGCATAAGCAGTGCCACATCTTCTCTCTACTCTTTGCCACTCATCTCCTAAACTATCAATTTCATCCTCCTCCCGCTTCTCCTCTTGATGACTCTTTATAACTTGTAAAAACTAAATTGTAAGTGCTTGTCTTTTGCTTCAGAAAGTTAAATTTGAATTAAACACATATAACCCACATACATATGTTTTAACTGGAACAATTCATGTATTTCCAGTTCCTCATTGTGCACACATCTCTACCAAATCTCTAATTTGTGTTTTGTTTCCATTCCTCCCACATCTGTGGGTGGGTGGGTGAAATCTCGAAACAAACAAGATGAATTTTAACAGGGAGAAATGTAAAGTATTGCACTTGGGCAAAAAAAATGAGAGGCACAAATACAAGATGGGTGACACCTGGCTTGAGAGCAGTACATGTGAAAAGGATCTAGGAGTCTTGGTTGACCACAAACTTGACATGAGCCAACAGTGTGACGCGGCAGCTAAAAAAGCCAATGCAATTCTGGGCCTCATCAATAGGAGTATAGCATCTAGATCAAGGGAAGTAATAGTGCCACTGTATTCTGCTCTGGTCAGACCTCACCTGGAGTACTGTGTCCAGTTCTGGGCACCACAGTTCAAGAAGGACACTGACAAACTGGAACGTGTCCAGAGGAGGGCAACCAAAATGGTCAAAGGCCTGGAAACGATGCCTTATGAGGAACGGCTAAGGGAGCTGGGCATGTTTAGCCTGGAGAAGAGGAGGTTAAGGGGTGATATGATAGCCATGTTCAAATATATAAAAGGATGTCACATAGAGGAGGGAGAAAGGCTGTTTTCTGCTGCTCCAGAGAAGCGGACACGGAGCAATGGATCCAAACTACAAGAAAGAAGATTCCACCTAAACATTAGGAAGAACTTCCTGACAGTAAGAGCTGTTCGACAGTGGAATTTGCTGCCAAGGAGTGTGGTGGAGTCTCCTTCTTTGGAGGTCTTTAAGCAGAGGCTTGACAACCATATGTCAGGAGTGCTCTGATGGTGTTTCCTGCTTGGCAGGGGGTTGGACTCGATGGCCCTTGTGGTCTCTTCCAACTCTATGATTCTATGATTCTATGATTCTATGATCTTACATCAGACTCCTAGGCATTTTGCAATCCTACAGATGTATTCTTTTGTCTCACAAACATCTGTGGGTGGGTGGGTGAAATCTCGAAAGTCCAGGAATTTTAAAATGGGCATAAATTGTCAGTGTACTGCCGTTTTCAATTGTTTTTTGATTGCTCCTCTGTCCACTCTCTTTCTCTAAGTAGCCTATTATGTACACGTATAATGAGAGATTACGCAGGTTTAACCTCAGAGAAAATCGTAGGAAGAAAGTATTAAGAAGTGTGGCTATCACTTGTGCAGATATAGCCTAAGGAACCAAGGGCCCTGGAATAAAAGAGCCTGTACATTACTCACATTTTTCCCATTATCACTAGATGATGAGCAGGTTTTAGGCAATTTCTGTTCAGGTTCTGAATAATCTGTATCTGTTGAGTAGGCATCAGGAGGAATAGCATAGTCACCTTCTGAGGTCATTGAAGACAGAGAGACCCCTGGATGCAAAGCAGATAATAATAATATATTTCCTGCTTGTCAAGGGTTGAACCAACAACCAAACAATCCTTGTTAACCTGGAAGATGCAAACTATTAGAGCTTAATCAGTGTCAAATGTGAGTTGTACGAACATTACTGTTACTGTAACAGTTTTCCCTTTAGAAAGGTTGGAGATGTTTCAGAAACAGGGAAACTTCTTTAGTTCCCAGCTCTCTAAAAAAAACAGGAACTGCAATAGTCATAATGCTTCTCTGGCTTAACACATCCAAGCTCTTGTTTGTCCTTTCCATAAATGCACTGACTTGGGAGATATTAGGAGAACCCCTAGAACACTTATACTGATTCAAAAGTATTGTGTTTGTATGCCTTATGCCCACCTCGTTTCATAGCCCGTGGACTCCCTGGGCCACTTCTGCTTCGAGAGTCTGATTCAGATGTCCGAGAACTGGATCGGGAACTGTCTTCTTCTTCAGACCCAGAAGAGTCATCTAAGAAAGGGTTGTTGCTGATTTGTGTTGCTTTCTAATAATGAATATAAAATTAATGAAAGTAAAATCAAATTCAAATCAAATTCAATTTACAAAGGAAATTCAGAAGGTTGTGGAATCAGTACAAAGGAGAAATGGGGCCCCAATTCCAAATTATTAAGGTATGCCATAGAAGCAACCCAATACATTTTTGTGGTATGGGAATGTTTGGTGGGTTAGCTCTTTGTCTCTCCTCTTATGCTTCTACCTTCATGTACCAGAAGATAAAAGCCCTGCCCACAGCTAAGTAGAATATTGGAGATTGTTATCCAACATTTGGTACTTTGCATTCACTTTCTTTCCATCAGTATTTCTGGCTCTACTGTATTTTAAATGTTACTGATATGTTCAGGTTTCACATCTGGTGCATGAAATAATAATATGCCACCAGCAGGCTCCACCTCTTAAATATTTTGCCATTTTCATTTAACAATTTAACACTCATCATATTCTAAAAGATTACTGGAAAATTACTAGTCAATCATCGTACCCTGGGGTTCTAACTGTAGGATCCCCACTACAACAATTCCAAAGCAGTACCAATAACTTTTCAAGCACTTTTTTTTTTTGCTCTGAAATGTATGAAATGTCATGTTTCTGAAACAGACCGCAAGAGTTCATCCCCTGAATACAACTTTTAAATCAAAATCTTACCCCTTTAAGAGTGGTATAGACTGGTGTAGTCACATTCTTGTATATTAGCGATGTGTAAAGTCCTGATGAGGAATATGAAGCTGAAGAGGTGGAACCTAAAATAAAAATAATATGGGTATATATATATATATGTGTGTGTGTGTGTGTGTGTATACACACACACACACACACACACATATTCTGAAAACGCTGGATTACTTAGGGCAATTTTTCATTGAATAAAGTAATAGCCAAATAATCAGACTGTCAGATACAGATGTACAAGTTCTAAGAAGGTAAAAGAACATGTGGACAAAATGCATTCTATGAAATTTATACATTTTTGATATGTTAATATTTTTAAATAGAATGAAGAAAAGAAGATAATTATAGCAAATTTTAAAAGCTAGTAAAAAGTAATGTAAATGGTCATGAATATAAGAAGCATGCTTGATCAGATATATAACTTAATATATATAATTAAAGAAGCAAAACATTTTCCAAAGACTGATTTGTACTCTTTTGAGACCTTTTATTTCCACAAATAGGCAAGCAAAGGATTTTTATCCTGTTTACTCTGAGGTAAGTCTCACTGAGTTAAAAAATATGTACCTGTTAAATAAATTTAAGATTTCAATCCTCAAACAGCTTTGTCACACTTACTTTTATTGAAAGAGTCCATGTTGAAGGCCTCTGAAAAGCGTAAGCCTGACTTGGCTACAGCATAAATTCTGCTTTCCTGATATACAAACAGAGGTTTTTAGAATACATTTTATTAAGCCTTTCAATAACTTTAGGCTATGTTCACATTACATCTATGACTCACTGCAACTAAATTCAAATGGGAGCAGAATTAAGTTTCTTTTCAATGTTAGGAAACATTTTAACAGCTGGTGCCAAAAATTGATAATCTGTTATTTGCATATTTCTGCTCTAGTTCTCTATTTTTTGCAGCTATTCCTTATAAAATATATTTCTTTCAGACATTGCTGCATTTTTAAAATTAGCTGCATTTTATGATTTTGATGGTTCAGGCAGTGGTTCGGCTTTTTACATAGTTACATAGATATTTCTTTTCCTGATAGTGTTTGTATGGTTTTGTCATGGCCTTTGGCTAGTACAACAAAGCTTATTTTGATTATCAGCAACATGATTTGTTTTTTACTGAAATATTTGTCGTTTGATAACAATTTCTTCATATGGTAATATTTTAATGTTGTTTAATAATCATGGTTAAGCTTTAGGATGGTATCTAACTGATTTGTTCAATCTATGTAAAGATTTCCATTTACCCAAGGGAGCTTTCCTCTCTCCATATGTGTCCAATGCTGTCCCCATATCTTGGTCTGGAGGGCTGGAGAAACTCCCAGAATGGCACATGGGGGAGAAAGGTTCACTGAGCAAGCAGAAATCCTTGCACACATAGAATAAGTTGGATACTTGCCCATAAGCTCTCTTTAGTAGTCATTTATGTGTTTTCCACTATATATTGCTATCAAAATTCAATTAACCTATAATTTCCTAAGCACTTATTATAGTTCCTGAAGTCAACAGGATGCTTGTTTGTTTAAGTAAATGTGCTTAGGACAGAAGCTAAATGTGTTTAGAACAGTTGAGATTTTTTTCAGAGAAATGCATACTTTTAAGTACCTTCCACCAAACTGCATACATTAGTAACAACTACTTGTACTAATCTTTCCCTCAACTCTCCCTATCGCTTTCCCTATGTAAGTCACAGCAGACAGTATTAAAAAGTAACTGAAAGGTAAACACAGGAAATTATAAACTGTGCATGTCAGTGGCAGTAAATACATTTCCTTGCATTTCCTACACATGCACTCTGGCCATACTAGATGAGATGGAAAACACTAACTTCCCACTCCCAGCACAACTGCCTGGATTCAAACTTTCCACCCCCAGCCCTTGATTAAATAATAATAAGTAGTAAGTTAAAGTTAAAGTGGAAAATATAGTAAAGGCTCTTCAATCAACTCATCTAATAGTGCTGTCATATTTAACTTAATGTCTTCCTGTTCTACTCCATCCGCCCTCTCTCTTGTCCTGGTTAAATTATATAACCTGTTACGAAAAGGAAGGGAAATTATAAAGGGTTTTAAAATACTTTATTGTTAGTCCCACTGAAGTCGATGACAAATTTCATTAACTTGTATTGATCCTAGTCGAGCTTCTAATCTGTTCTCACATATTCTGAAGTATAAACCAAGATTTATTTATTTATTGCACTGAAAAATTAACACTTGTAACTATTTCATATGTGGTCAATTCTGACTGGAGAGATGACATGTGCTTTCAACGAAGCAACATATGCCCACGTTTAATGTTGATAGCAACATTTAGAGGATAATCCCCCCCCCCAAAAAAGGGAATGTGAACCATATCTGGTTAAATTAACAAGCTGGAATATTATGATTTCATTTACCCAAGAGGGGAATCGATGCAGAGGAGGAGTAGGTGGCTTGCTGCTTGTAGTTTTCCTTGCATCATTAGAGTCCAAGGTTTCTGCACACTGAGTCTCACAGGAGTCATAGGTAAACAATTCCTCATTACAACTAATCTCCATCTTCTCCAGAACTTCTGTACTTTCCCCATCCACTTGATCTATGTCTGTTTCCTGAGGCTTAAAAGGACGTATCATGCTTATAGCATTTCTGTTTCTGCCAAACATTTTGTCCGAACATAGAGGAGGTTGGCTGAAATGTTTTTTTGCCAATGCTGCACTTAAAGTAAAGATGCTAGGAGTCCTCAGTTTTGGAGGCGGCAGATTAGATGGAGAATCAAGTTGTCTGCCAGACACAGCGCCTGCTGCCAGCATCAGTGCTGGATGCTTAGGAGCTAGAGCTGGCGTTAGAATTGGACTTGGAGTATTTGCCTCACTGGAAGAGGATGAATAATCTAGCCTGTGGGACTGAAACCTCTTATTCAGTTCATCTGAAAAGCTATCATGATCCTTCTTTTCGCTGAAGGATTCCAAGTTGCTCTTTCCAACTAGATGGTTCTGGTTTTTCCATGGAGACCCTTGTTGCCAAGAATATAGTTTTTTGCATATGTTTCCCTGAGCTTGGAAGCTCTCTTCTTCCAAAAAAGAACTGCTGTCATCTGATGCTGTCAAATACATTTCACTTCCAATTCTGCTATAGCCTGTGCCTTCTTCAGATGTGTGACTTGAAACAGTGGATACGCACCTAGATTTTGATCTTCCTTTGCCTCCTTCTTCCTCATCAGAGCTCCAGTCACTTACTGTAATGCAGGAGTTCTTTGATACATTACTATCTAGGTCTTTTGACTTTACTGCTTGCCTTTGTTCTGGCATACAAGAGCTATGTTGTAGAGGTTTCAGAACTCTATTACTCCCATACATTTGGCCAAGAAGAGATGTTTCCTGGACTTCTTTCTCTGGAAAAACAGTAACAACGACATGTTTGGAAAAACTACTTTTAATGAAGGCAGCAGGTTGTAATTTATAACCAATGTGTTCATCAGTTGAAATGCACCTTTGTTTTCAATCAAGATAATTGTGATATACAGCTTACCGTATAGTTCCGTGTATAAGACGCCCCCATGTATAAGACGCCCCCTATTTTGGGGGATTCCAAATTAAGAAAACACCCCTCAGCACTACCCATGTATAAGACGAGCCCCAATTTCAAACCTAATTTTTTGGTAAAAAAAAACCCTAGTCTTATACATGGAAAAATACAGTATACAAATAGTATACAATATTATGTGAAACATTGGCAGCTTCATTCTAAGAAGATATGGTCAGATCTACAAATAAGTGGACCAAATCCCTGTAGAGCAGGGGTTCTCAACCTGCGGGTCCCCAAATGTTGTTGGACTACAACTCCCATCATCCCTGAGCTCTGGCCTTGCTAGCTAGGGGTGATGGGAGTTGTAGTTCAACAACATCTGGGGACCCACAGGTTGAGAAAGGCTGCTGTAGACTGAGATGCTGGTTTTCATACTCCACTAGCTTTGTCAAAATGACAACTTCCTGCAAACAGAAAACTAATATAGAAAAAATGGAGGAGGGCAAGGCTAAAATCCTATTCCCAGAGGAGATGGGTTTAATTTTGTACATGGAGTTAATTTTGTACGTGGAGAAGCATTCAAAAATGGCTCTCACCTGCAGGTTGAAAATGTAGAGCACAGCGAGTAATTCAAAAGTGAGCCCAAAGAAAGCTCTGTCTGGGGTTTTGCAACTAGCCTAAGTACTTTTTTTGGTCATACAGAGTTTCTTTATAGAATCTGAAGGAAGGGATGATAACAATGAAAAGGCGGAGAAATATACCTCCTCTGACCATTCTACTAGTTTCTCCAGTTGTCTGCTGTGACTCTTTTGCACTGCAGCCCTACTATCCAGTCCTTGAACTGCTGTTGTGTACGTCAGCCTAAGTACACTTTCCTCAAGTAAGAAACCAACTAAAATAAACAGCTTTCACTTCCAAGTATACAGGATCAGAAGGAAAGTGTAATAGAAACTATTCTTAACCTACAACCTAAGCTACAAACAGGTCAGAGTACTTCTGCATAAGCTAAGTGACATTTCAAACCTAAAACATTTGCAGCAACATCATTGCACTTGATAAATCCAGAGTAGCACCCCTGCAATGTAAGTGCCAGATGAGTTCATCCTATCCTAAGCTTTCAGTTGCTGTTATTATATAGTTTTGTGATCAGTATGTTAACACATTTGAAAAACAAGAAGGCTATTCCTACTCAAATGCAAGGACCCCAGGTTAACTAGTTTGTAGATAAGACTGAAACTGTTCTAATGTTCACATTTAAATTTTTGATAAAACGAACACTGTTGGTCAAGACGGAAAATTAAAATATGCAGCCCTTGTAAAAGATTATATGACATATTACAATGAACAGAACACGGTGACTAAGCTTAAAATTATGAAGTTTATTAAAAATAAATTTCTGTGTCAGTTTCTTCCTCAACTTAAATTATATTTTCAAAAGTTTAACGCTCGTAAGACCGGTGGGTTTTCCAGCCAGGCAAAACACTCTCGGGTCACAAAGCAGGGCCAGTTGTGTGTGTGGCCTGGGAAGAGTTCTAAGGGCCACATAGAGAGGCATGGAGGGCTGCATTTGGCTCCAGGCCTGAGTTTCCCAATCCCTGTTCAATTGATGGGAAACATCTAGACTGTGTTTTCACTCATGAGTTCTGTAACATGCAAGTAGTTTTTAAAAGGGTGGTATTTCTGGCCAAAGTTGGTCAACAGACTTGCTTGTTATGATGCAGTTTGATAACCAGGGTCGCCAACCCATGCCCCCAGGAGGCCCCAGACTCTGAGCTTTGTTTAAAAAGAAGTAAGTCTCTAGCCCTCCTAGAAATAAAGTTAGAAATAAAATCCCACTGTTATCAATGTAAATTATTTCCAAGTAAATCTGTTTGAATCTGATTGAATTACTGGTCACTTTGAAAATTATGCCCCAAATACCTAGACTGCTATTGCCTTCATTTAGTTCAGCTTGCTTTGATGAGGAGCTGATTGTATCATCAGGCTTCGGAACTGGCTGAGGACTTCTTGCTCGGTTCAAGAAGCATCCAAAAGTCAAACTGCTCAGTCGTTGGCCTTCTCCAGGCTTTTGTGCTGAAGGAACAGATTTCTTCCCCTGAAGTTCTGTGCAGCAATAATTCAAATATCAAGATTCAATATATTCTGCTGTTACATACTAAAAGATTTCTTATTTATCTTGAATGCTGTAAGATCCAAGAATTTTTATATTAGAACCCATGTTTACCTGAAATTCTTTCTTTGATATTTCTATCGACTAAAGTGTGGAAAGAAAGAAATCCATAATACAGTGGTACCTCTAGTTACAAACTTAATTAGTTCCGGAGGTCTGTTCTTAACCTGAAACTGTTCTTAACTAGAGGCGTGCTTTTGCTAATGGGGCCTCTTGCTGCTGCTGCGCCGCCGGCACATGATTTCCGTTCTCATCCTGGGGCAAAGTTCTCAACTCGAGGTAACTCTTCCAGGTTAGCAGAGTTTGTAACCTGAAGCGTTTGTAACTCGAGGTACCACTGTATGAGCAAAATTTATGGCAGAAGTGGGAAGTGGTGAACAGCTATCATTTACGAGGAATATTTTTTGTTCTTGCTAACCAAGAACATGAATCTGATTCTCCACACATACAATGAAATTAGTTCTTGGCTCGGATTAGCCCCCCTTCTGTCAAAAGGCCTTCTCCAATTTAGCAGTAAATAACATTGACCCCTTCTGAGGAGGGACCAAAGTGGTAGAGCTTTGAATGCAAAAGGTCCAGATTCAATCCCTGGTATCTCTAATTGAAAGAAAAAGGTAGTATGTGATCAGAGATCTGCTACCAATGAGAGTAGAAAGACTAGACTAACGGGACAAATCTGGTATAAAAACTACAAGACCCAGTACAGTATAAAAAAGGGGGTTGTATTTCTCTCTCTCTCTCTCCAAATAAAATAAACTGCATCAGTGTAGATACAGAAACACAAAAAGAAATAATATAAATCTAAAGATGGCACATCAATATACTCAGTCTTCCTTAAAAAATAAAAATAAAAGTCTGTTTTTCAATTGTCCTTGGAGAGAGTGATAACATTCAACTCCTGAAAAGATACCCTGGTTCTTCTTGTACTTTTCTGGCCCATAAGGGTTCATTTTTCTAAGCAGCTGTGTTTGCACTGATGAATTCTTTAGCCAAGATGAACCATAAAATATTTCACTCAAAGACTGTACATGCACTTGTAGGGGAAAAACTGTTTTTCATCAAGGCAAAAAAGCAATTCATCAAGACAAAAACAAATGCACAGAAAAAATAACCTTTATTGGCCAGAAAGGCACAAAAAGAACCAGGATATCTCTTCATGAGTTGAATGTTATCACACTCTTCATGAAAAACTGAGAAAACAGACTGAATTAAAAAAAGACTAAACAGTTGAAACAGATTTTTGTCTGCTGATGTCCTATCTTCCGATTTATATTATTTGGTTTTGTGTTTCTGTATCTTCATTGATGTATATATAAAGATATATAGATTATTCTAGGTCTTGTAATTGTTTATGCTTTGACTTCTAGGGATCCTCATTGTTATCGCTTTCTAACTTGCTATAAGGCAGCTTTTTATTCCTATACTGGTTTTGAAAATGTATGTTACAACATCTTTTCATTTGGTTTTAAATCAGCAAAACCCTCAATCTGATGACTGTAAGCATTGCTACAGATCAGAAGAGACAAAGACTACATAATTCTGATTTACAAGCTTGCTTTTAAGCATCAGCAACATATTTGTCCTTTCTACTGAGTCTTCATAGTTATCAGTAGAAGAGTATATGCAAGTGGAAGGACTGATACAGCTATTATATATATATTTCTAAGCCATTTGAAACTTCCTTTCATAGAAGTGTCTCAAGGCTGATTTAGGAATCATTGCCACCACATCATCATCATCATCATCATCATCATTTATTTATACCCAGCCCATCTGGCTGGGTTTCCCAAGCCACATAAAAAATTGTGGCTGTGTCTCATGATCATCCAAGCAACTCACCCATATCTGAAAATTCCAACATTACAAAATGTACATATAACAATTTTCTAGATACTTCCTATGCAGAGGGTTAGAATATAAGCAGAGAAACAACATCTGAACGAATCTTAAGTCTAGGTTTTAGAAAATGGCACAAACAAGTGATCTAATTCCACTGTGGCATCTACCTAAAAATGAAATCTGCAATGGATAAATATTGCAAAGGAAGCTAGTGGTCCCAACTTCATATTTTCCTATTGTGGGCATGGGAAATATATGTACCAGGTGATTCTCACCAGTAATGTTGCATGGGTTGCCAGCACCCAGGGCAGAGCAGGTATTGCGCCCCCTAGTGTGCTAAAGTGAGTGGGAGTGTCTCTACTGAAGCTCAGGGCAACGGGCAGAGGAAGCTGGCTGTGGGCAGGATGGAGGTGCTGGCCGTTGCCCAGCCATCAAGGCACCTCCATGCGGCACTGCTGCTGTTGCCAGATGGAGCCACAGAGAAGTGGTGGGACATGCATGCGCACCTCCTCGGGCTGGGGTGCCACCACCACCGTGTGTCTGGCCATCCACCCGTCTCCCCTGCCATGGACAGGGTGCTTGCAGCCAGCCTGGCACTGCCTAGCTGTGAGTCGAGGCGGCCCACTTGTAGCTCGTACCAGTGCAGCAGACCTGGGCTCAAATGGGAGAAAAAAGTGAGCAAGAATTCCAAGGATCCAGTGTGTGAGTTGTGCATGGACACGTTTCTTCCCCTCTCTCTGCGCGTGCGGTAGGGCTGATTTTGTGAGCGGGAAAGAATATTTCAAGAAAGGGGCCCACAACAGTAGCCAAGGCTCAGGGTTGGGGAAGCATCCCTCATCCAACTTCCACCCATAAAAATTCTGTGCCCGGGGCACAAACATTAGCATGGAATACAACCTGTTATAAATATTTACATACTCAATGTAAAGGCATGCTGGCTAATGTTCTAATAATGAAACACAGTACATAACACTTAAAGCTGTTTTCAGATAATCTTCCACATCTACCTTGCAATTTAGTCTGCAATATCCTCATCTCTTCAGTTTGGTTTTGATTTAACATGCGAAGGTTCTGATTTTCCACTTCTAGCTGAAAGCATATAGACATAAGCTCCTTTTCATGAGTAGAAACACTGAAAAACATTGCATCCAGAGAAAAGCCATTTCCCCCTATCTTAGATGTATTAATAGTTCAAAATACTGCTTCAAGTAGGTAATATTCAAACCATACTTGTGTATCTTTGCCACATCTGAAAACAATATAATTTAAATGTTTATTAGAATTGCAGTTACAGATAGGTAGCTGTGTTGGTCTGCCATAGTCAAAACAAAAAAAATTCCTTCCAGTAGCACCTTAAAGACCAACTAAGTTAGTTCTTGGTATGAGCTTTCGTGTGCATGCACACTTCTTCAGATACCTTGATGGACTTCCATTTCATGCGGCTCAATGTGGTGCCTTCCATAGTTCCAGTTACAGATAGGTAGCCGTGTTGGTCTGCCATAGTCAAAACAAAAAAAATTCCTTCCAGTAGCACCTTAAAGACCAACTAAGTTAGTTCTTGGTATGAGCTTTCGTGTGCATGCACACTTCTTCAGATACTTCAGGTATCTGAATAAGTGTGCATGCACACGAAAGCTCATACCAAGAACTAACTTAGTTGGTCTTTAAGGTGCTACTGGAAGGAATTTTTTTTATTAGAATTGCAGTTGTTGATCTCAATGCTTATTTAGTGAAGGAATAGCTCAGTTGGTAGAACATGAGACTCTTAATCTCAGGGTTGTAGGTTGGAACCTCACTTTGGGCAAAGGACTCTTATATTGAAGGTTGGACTAGATGGCCCTTGTGATCCCTTCCAACTCTACAATTCTATGATTCTGTGATTTCAGTTTCTAGGTTCCTATTTCTATTCTAGGTTCCTATTTCTTCATTTTGAAAAATTCTACATGTAACGGCTGCCATAAATCTTAAGATGAAAAAGGCACTAAAACCAACCCATTCTCTTCATCATCAACCACCTTAAAGCAAAAGTATTTTCTTATTTCTAATGCACAGAAAGGGGGAATCCTAATTATCTTTAAATTCCCTCTCTCTGATGCTTTGGAGAAAAACAGTTACAGTACTGCATCTGGGATAGCACATCCTCTTTTCAAGCTGCCTATGTCCCACAGATGATTAACATATGTGCGAATGACCAGAAGGACCAGTAAATACTTTTACATATCAGTAAAACTAGTGGACTTATTTGGAAAGCTGCTAATAACTCACTTTTTCATTTTTACTAGTGAGTAGATAAGTTGGGAAATGGCAGTTGTGTGCTAATGGAACATGAATTAGTCCACTAAGATTTTCATCTGTGCATAGTTTTGAGTTGCCATTTTGTTGGCAGAGGATCAGTGAATGTCGTAATGAAAAAAACTTTAACCATATAATGCCTGCTACATTTTCAAGAATTTTCAAGTGTTTGCTGCTCATCTTTGATACATTTTTCTCACAGCACTCACCTCATGGAGCTTGACAGTCACCCATTCTTTTATCTTGGCAGCTTTTTCTTCTATAATTTTTGCCTCTTGTATTCTTATTTGCTTCTGAAAAAATGACAGACCCAGCTCTTTTGCAACTTGCATTCTTGACCTCAAGAAACGTTTTTGTCCACCCAACAATTGGCATTATGCAATTAAAGCAGTATCTGATGCTTATGAAAACAGCCGAAAACTCTCATCCCCTTACAAAAAGCCACTCTTGTAGAAACAACAAAAATCAATACCTCCACTAAAAATTCAGATCCTCAACCACAAAAGTGACCCCAGTCTCTCCTCCAGCTAATGAGAAAGCATCAATTGCCCTTGTACAAGTTTTATAGGGCAGGAACAAGACATCAGTACATCAACACTATGGCAGATGCTGCTGTGCTGGGACTAGATTGGATCTCAGTGCTATTATGGCAACACATAAATATATATGTTGGCAGCCTCAAGTCTGATCTTCTGCGAAGCTGCTTTATGAAGTTCTAAGAATTCCACCCCGCCCCTCAAAAAAGGAACAGTTGCTCCAGAAATCAAAATAATATAGTGTTTCAAGAAAGCAGAAAGTTTGTCCCCAATACAATTTGTAAATACACAATTTTAAGGGCCCAAACAACTAGAAAAGGTCCCATTCGAAAGCGCCTTCTCAGATGCATGCCATGCAATATAGTCATCCACATTTACATTTCTGATCAAAATTTAAGATATGAATAGATATCTTTACAGAATCCAATTACTTTTTCCAAAAAGGCTTTCAGTGGAAGAAAATCTAGAAGGTATGGATTCTTTTCCCTACTTTGGTTCTTATCTGTTATACAACAAATTATAAATGTAGGTAACTGAGGGACAGCCGTATCATTTCCAACCTGTTCTGCAAGCTGTTCTTCCAAATTATGTATAATGTCATCTTTCTCCTGCACCAGTGTCTCCAGATCTTGACATCTCTTATATAGTCTTGTCTCTGACTCACTGGTTTGGACATTAGCAGCTTTTAGTTTCTCCTCCATAATTTGCACCTAAAAGTTAGAACATAACACTATATATGAAAACTGTTTACACCACAGAAATAAAAATAAAAAGAGAACCATGTATGCCACCTTGAGCTGCTGGAGGAAGGAGGGTAATTTTGGTAATTCCCCCTTTCCTTTGCAGCCCCCAGGTCTATTTCCCACACAGTTCTGGAGGATACTCTTTCCTTCTGGGACAACTTTTTGGGTGGACACCACGGATTGGAGGAGGAATAAGCAGAAATCACCTCCCACTACTTCCATCAGCAGGACAGTTCTGTGAGTAGAGTACCTCCCAAGAATAGTCTGGATCAGCAGTATATACAACGATGAATGAACACCAGTGTTTTATAATTACAAGTTTAGCAGGGATTATTTAAGGCATGCAATTTATTTTGAACTCATAGAGAAAATGTTTTAACTATTCCTGAAAAAATAGAAAGCAGATTACTTTTAAGACAGAAATTTGTTAAAACTGTTTTCTGAGTCAAATTGTCTAGTCCACCAATATTGTTGCCTGATGGCTCAAGCCATTTGTGAGCTGAGACTAGCATCTGCCATTGCACTGTGCTTAACCAACTACGAAATCCAACAGAGTTGCTTTAGCTGCATGCACATTCCCTCTGCAAAACACCAGCATGTATACTCAGACAGTGATGGCCCCTTGCTAGGATTCCCTGGTTAGGGAACAGTGAACCATCGCACATGCTGACAATCTCATCACTCACTGTTACTACATGAGTTAACCTTCGTTTCCAGAATTTGTTTACTTTGCGAAATGGGATTAGATCTACTTTGCTTCTCTACTATTTACTGTAAATGGCATTTCTCCAATGGTTTTCATAGAGATTCCTTACAATAAAATTGCACAGCCACCTTCTGCTATTTTATTTAATTTTGTTCTGTTTAATATACTCAGCCTAGTAAGGGAACCGCGGTTCTTCTTGGCCCATTTCCTCAAACATAAATTCCAACGTTTTGAATCAGGGTCCTGTAAGAACCAGTGCAAAAAGTGAAGGAACTCCCATGAATAATCAGAACAGCTGGATTATAAGAACGTTATGAGTCTGCTGGATAAGGCCAATTTGTTCTAGCACTCTGTTCTCACAATGACCATCCCCTGCTTTTCACAAACATGACAGTACTGTTCACAGAATGCTGCAGCCAGGGCATAAAGGTTGAAGTCTTCTGCTAGTATTGCATGCATTCTGCCTCTGAACAGGGGCATTCCACTTAGTTACCTTAGTTTGTTTGTTTGCTGCTATGCTACTTTTCATCAATGCAGCTAACATCAAACCCATCAATGCAGCTAACAAAATAAAAAGTTACCATACATTCAAAAGGCAATATAAAACTACATAAAAAAGTAACAGAAGAGAGTAATAGAACAGATTACAGCAATATTCAAAACATCTTCAAAAGCTAAACATCTTCAAAAGTTTAGTTAATGGCCATTGAGAGATCTATTCTCGGTGAATCTGTCTAATCCCCCTTTAAAGTCATCTAATCCAGTAACCATCACTACATGCTGTGGCAGCAAATTCCATAAGTTAATGATGCATTGTGTGAAAAACGAATTTCTTTTGTCTGTCATGAATCTACTGCGAATGGATTCACTGGATGACCACAAGTTCTGGTACTGTGAGAGAGGAAGAAAATTATTTCTGTCTCCTTTCTCCAAAACCTTTAAATAATTCCACAAACTTCTATCAAGTGTCCCCTTGATTGTCCTAAAACTAAAAATTGAAACAGTCCCAAATATTGCACAGAATGTGCTCTAATCCATGGATCATTTTGACTTTTTGAAAATATTTTGTATCTTTGCAACACCTGAGATGGAGTGACCAAACCGATACAACAGACAAGACCCCCAGCATAGATACACATGGATAGTTTATGAAGGTCCTGCTTCTGTAACATGTCTAATATTAATTGCATAAACTATTACATTATGTTTTTGGCTAAATGTGGGGAAATGGTTGTTTATACATAAGAGCATGGGCGAAAGTTTATTATTGCAGGGTGATTTCGTAGCTGAAGGCATCCTTGGAGCATGAACAGCGCGTGGACAGCTCATGCTGTCCCAAATGATTGGCCCACGTAACATAGCCTGATCGACTACGTGACCTGGTGTGATGGCATGGCATTGTCCTTATCTGCTGGCTGAGAAAAAGTTGCATTCCTTGTATTTTGTATCTTTCTGACTACACACAATAAATGTTGGGCTGCAGCAGCTCTAAAAGCAGCCAGATTTCTTCAACCCAGCTCTGCGTGAGACTGATTATTACTGATGACGAGCAGGTTCTCGTCAGCTAAATATTTAACAGTGCCCTGGTAACCGTGGCATGGATAATTCAATCAAAGCATTATTTGTGAGATCTTCTCAAATAATAGGTGGGGCGGGGGGAATTACTTAAAAGGTAAATTCCACGAAACAAATGAAAGCAGTCCCGCATTTTTTCACTTTCTTGCAAAGAGATGGGGGAAACTGCAGAAAAGGAAGGGGTGAGAGTTTCGCTGGGCAAAAACATTTGCATGCCCCTCTAACCAGTTCTGCTCAAGACTATTTTGAACTTTCCCCTGACTACTTTATACCATGTGTGGGCATGAATGTTTATAAAAGACAGAATGCAGAAGAGAAGCTAAATGCAAACTACCAATTTATTGAGTTAAAAAGTTTTAGGGCCAACCTTGTAATAATTTGTCAACAAAGACATTTACAGGCACAGAGCATGTCTATTTTAAACAAGAACAATAAATAAATTTAAGCCCTAAAACACCCTTTTCTCCTTTTGTATAAACATAGCTTATAATAGAGCATGTGGTCAAGTGTTGGAAAAGCTGAATATGCCTAACAACTCTGCTAAAGATAAAAGTCAAGGCTCAGTTATCTATAAATTGCTAGCATATTTGCAGAGGCACTCAGGCTAAGCCATGAAGGCATTACAAGGCAGGCATACCAAGAGGGATTCATGCTGCTCACAGTTGATATTATCTTCCTATTTAAATTCAGCCTCGTCAGGGAAATAAATCTGGAACGATCCTAGCAGTTTCTAATTAAATCTGAAGAACCAAAGCTTCTGTCCATAGCAAATTTGTAATCTCACAAGTTTATGGAACTGTCTCCACTCCTACCTAGGATTTCTTCACACTAGATGCATCTTCTATATAAATATCATGTTCATGTAGGAAATTGTTGTTTTGCAGTTTGTAGACACAAAGGGCTCTATTTCCAATCAGAGCTTTCTGAGGTATTCCTATGGTAAAATACAAATGTATGTCCAAGGCCAACAGCACTGGGGGGAAATATGGCAAGCAACTTCATAAAAATGGCTTGTGACTAGGTGACAAGAAGCAGCCTCCTTTCTTCTATTTGCTTCTGGAAACGTCACACACCTATCTGAGATTTTAAAACATACACAAGTGCTTTAGTCCCAATAGAAACAACCAGGCTTCACCGTGGAAAATCTCTGGCATTCATCTGTAACAATCTTGGTTTATGGGAAGAGCCATAGCTCAGTAGCCCAGCTACTGGAGGACCCAGGTTCAATCCATGACATCTCCCAGAAGGGCTAGGAGTGGCTCTCTGCCTGAAACCCTGGAGAGCTGCTGCCAGTCAGTGTTGGCCTGCAGGAACTCCTGAAATAGGGCTGGCACAGGATTCGTTGGATTCTCAACTGGCCCTGTTGCATCAACCTGGGAGCTGGCATAGCAAAAATGCTTTCCCCCCTGCCCCTATTTTTCCACCCTGGCAGGCATGAGTGGGGGGCCTGTGGAGGTACTTATACTGATCTAATAAGCCCCGCTGCTGCCAGCCAAGGATTTTGATTGCCCATTAAAACTTGACTGAATAATGGGTTAAAATATGATTTTAAAATATAAATACAGGTGGTGACCATTTTGCACTCATCCAATTGATGTGTCACCACCAATGCATGAGTCGTTTTCAGCCCCGGAAGGGGACAGAACGGGGGGGTGGGTTGCCTGTAATATAAATTTACATTAGGTTACATTAGGTTAAATTCAGAACATTGTTGCTACTGTACATAATTCTGCATTATGAACATACCTGCTGAAAAGCTTTTTCTGCTTGTCGATCTGCATCAATTACTTGCTTTTCAAGTTGCTGCATCTGTAAAGAGACATTTTAGTAGTAATAAAAATGAGATGCATGCTCCCTTGGTTGCTATCAATGGAAGTATTCTTCTTCGTCATAATATATAGCACTTTTTTCTAAGGAATCAAAGAGATTCATATACATTAACTTGAGGGTCCATACAACAGTCTTATAAAAGTAGACCAATATTATTGCCATATTGCAGTCGAAGGTGGGTGGACCTAATTGTTAACAGCCTACCTTAGACCACCCAGAGAGTTCATGACTGAGGATCAAATCTATCACTTGGAAGGTTATCAAGGTTTAAAAAAATTTAATAGCAACTCCAGGGAAGGTGATTCTCATAAAGCCTAGCATGTGGGGAGGGGAGGTTTAACCCTCCCTAGCTGGGATCCTGAAGAAAATCACCCTCCACACACAGCACTATGACTCTTAGCCTTGGGGGTGAGAAGAACTCCGATTAGGGTCAGTAAAAGCTCCCCACCCCCGGCTAATGGGAGCATTGCAATGTCACGACAGGATTGATGGACAAAACGTCCCATCCCTATGCACTGTGGTATTGATAAAAATCAGAGGGCTCTGCACCTACTTTTTTAAAAAAAATCCAATGTGCTTCTGAATTGCATCTTTACTATCACCTGTAGTTTAGCCTTGACCTAAGCTAAGATTTGAACGAGGTATTTCTTCGTTCATAGCTTGTATCACATAACCCACTATAAATGAGACTAAAGGTAACTCCAAAAAGAACTGAAGTAAAAAGCAAGTGTTGTATGTTAAACTGAACAGGGTAATTCTATGCATATCTACATGGGAGTCATAATGAATTCAATGAGGCTTACTTCTTAATAGACATAAATATGATTGGGCTGTTAATGATATTAAAGCCAGCATATCAGCTGATAAGCAAATGGCATGCATGAAACTCAGTGTTGATCTTTTGTATTTGAACCTGTTTTAAGGGAAGTATTTGGACAGTAGCTATTCCAGTTTATCCAACAGCATTCAGACATTATATTCTGCAAGTGCTTGCCACAGTTTAATGAGCCAAAGTGGGCCACAGGATCTTGTGTTCCCTTCATACTAGAATTTCCACCAGCACTTTTACCATGGGTCACCTGATCATTCCTAAACATGTGGTCCTAAATCCCAGTTCAGAAACCAGCAAAAATTTAGCCATCTAATCCAGTGCATGTTTGTGACTATGATCAGCAAAAATATACCCAGCTAAATTCATGTCTGGGGCTTAAGATGGAGAAAAGAATAAAACTGAAATCAGCCCCAAGTTGAATTGTTAATGGAGCATGCACTTAGAAAATAGTTCTCAGCTAGTTAATAAATTAATGCCAATACCAAATTGTAGCTCCTTGTAAAGTTGACTGTGTCAAGAAAGTATGTTAAGTAGTTTTGCATGAGTTCACAGTATGGATAAATTGGACAGCTTTCTGGCAGCATCTAAGCTTTGATCTTGTAACTTGGATATTTACTTGAACACACTCAGATTCATGCAGTGCACAAGGTGCTCTAACTGTATGCTCAAAAACAGATATTTTAGCTGTCAGCATAGAAACTGGCTAATGTTTCAAGTTGGGTTTTTTTTTTCTGACAAAACTACCAGGAAGAGGAATTGTTGAAAGTTCTAAGAAGGATGTTCAGGTGTTTTATTGCAGACTGCCCTTAACTACTGCCACCCAATGTAATAACAACATTTTAAAATTGGGTGGAGAACCACCAGTCCACAGGTTGATTCTGGCTCATAGTCCATTCCTGTCTGGCCTCATGGCTTCTGCTTCTTGGCCTCATTCCTCACTATTTCCATGCTGGGAACACGGAAGCCTCTTTCTCCGCACCTCGCATAGAAGCCAAATGAGCTGCTGGAATAGGTACAGAAATATCTGTCCCTCCTCTAGTACCCCTGGAGTGGTGTGAGGAGGAGGAAGATAAGGCTCTCTTTCTCTACCTAGAATGGAAGCTGAAAAGAGAGAGAGAGAGAAAGAGAGGGGTGGCAAAGATAGTGAAATGCATGGTCCACTGATTTTCTGCTTCAGCTCCAGCCAATGCCAGTATGTTGCCCTTGAGAGATTACCCTGAGGGAACATCCTTTACATTAAGAAAGGTTCCCTACCTGCTTTAAGGCTTAAATACACATGGCTTGCTCAGCTCACTTTCTCTTGGGTTGGTGGCCACAGAAAAATCTTCTACTGGCTATTATTCCTTGATTATTATTTGTGCATTTTTATTTATTTCAGTTTCTCATTTTGCTTTCTTGTTTTATTTCTAAGTGCACTTTTCCTCTTCGTCCTATTCTTCACTTACACAAGTCTCTTGCAATGATCTTGTCCTGATGTTTCTCTGCTTCTAAACTATCTACTTTTTTCTTAACCCTCTCTCAGTCTTTAAAAAGCAACTCTTACTCCTTTTAATCTTCCTTCTCTATTGTAAATTTTTACCTCTCTAATTCAGTTTGGAGATCTACCATTTGGGCAGGATTCAACTTAATAGCTGTGCTAGCAGGAGCCAATAGCACAAGTCCCAATAGCACAATGGGGCTCCCTCCCTCCTTCCCCCACACCCTCCTCAAATCAGCCTGGGGGGTCAGGAGAACTCTGACTTAGAGTACTGTACAGAGAGAGAGGGAGCTAATTTCACTAGACAAGCAGAAACACTTCTGCTGATGCAGCAATCTCCTTAGGTCTACTTTGAATTCTGCCCTTTGTCACTTGTTTGCAAAACGTTTTGAGGATAAAATTGCTTGCCTCCACCGAGATCTTAACTCCACAGTTATAGCAGATGGATCTCATGGGTGTCCAGAACACAGTCTAGTCTTGTTGTGTTGAATCTGTGTATCTGAAGAAGTGTGCATGCACACGAAAGCTCATACCAAGAACTAACATAGTTGGTCTTTAAGGTGCTACTGGAAGGAATTTTTTTTGTTTTGTGTTGAATGAGTTTCAGTTAGTAATGCTCAAGGATGTGGCCAAGGTGCTTGTATCAGTCAGGGCAAATACTTGCGCTCTGGACTCTTGGCTGATAAAAACCCAGTAGAGAGGGGACGGAAGTGATTAATGCCTCCTTGCAAGACAGGGTGGTCCTTGCTTGCTTTAAGGAGGCAGTGGTAAAACCACTCCTCAAGAAATGCTCCCTGGATTCAGAAAATCTAAGTACCGGTAACTACCGGCCAGTTTCTAATCTCCCTTTCTTGGGCAAGGTTCTTGAGCAGGTGATCTCAGACCAGATTCAGGTGCTCTTGGAGGAAACTGATTTTCTAGAGCCATTTCAATCACGTTTTAGGCCCGGTTTTGACACAGAAACTGCTTTGGTCACCCTACATGATGACCTGTGTTGGGAGAGAGATGAGAGAAATGTGTCCCTGTTAATTCTCCTCAACCTCTCAGTGGCTTTCAATACCAACAATCATGGTGTCCATCTGGAGTGGCTGTCAGAGAAGAGTTGGTGGCACTGCTTTGTGGTAGTTCTGGTTTCCAGAGATTGTAGCTTGGGGAGTGTTCTTCAGCCCTGCAGAACCTTCAATGTGGGATCCTTCAGGGTTCAATTTTATTCCCTATGCTGTTTAACATCTACATTAAACCTTTGTGTGGGGTTATCTGGAGTTTTGGAGTACATTGTCAATGATATGCTGATGACACACAGCTCTGTTTCTTTTTTACAGCTGCAGGTGAGGCAGTGGATATGCTAGATTATTGTTTTATCTTGGTAATCGATTGGATGCAAACTGAAGCTCAATCCATATAAAATGGAGGCACTGTTAGTGGACGGTTCCATAAATTCGATGGCTGGGAGATTTAGGAGTGGGTACACAGCTTGGACTTACTTCTGGATCTTTTGCTGCCACTTGAGGCTCAGGTGGCCTCCACAGTGCGGAGTGCCTTTCACCGGTTCCTGTTGGTGCCCAATTGTGCCCCTGTCTGGACAGGCACAGCCTAACTACTGTTGTCTATGCTCTGGTAACCTCTAGGTTCGATTACTGCAATGCGTCATACATAGGGCTGTCTCTGAAGATAGTTTGGAAATATCTTGACCTATAAAGCCTTAAACAGCTCAGGACCACAATACATCAAGGACTACCTCTCTCCATAGGAACCTACCCAGATTCTAAGATCATCCTCTGAGGCCCTTCGTTGTGTGCCTCCTCCACAAGAGGTCTGGAGCATGGCAACACAAGAACGGGCCTTTTCTGCAGTCCCCATTTGTGGGGAGGTTTGGCCAGTGCCTTCACCATACACCTTTAGGCGCCAGGCAAAAATGTTCCTCTTCAACCAGGCCTTTGGCTGATTGATATCTAATGCCCAAACTCAGAACTATGGTTACATATATATCATACTTAGTAAAACCATCATTAAAGACACAAAAATGAGCCAGATTTTTTAACATACAACTAAACTCAGGAAATTACTACTCTACATCTGACACTAATCAAACAATTCTCTGTGAGTTATTTTTGTTCCAACAATGAACAGAGAAAAGCCACATGTGAATAAATATCTAATGCCTTAAGGAAAAATAGTTCAAAAGCAAAGGCAATCAGCTTCCCTGCAGTCTCTTCCGTAGAACACTCTATACTATTTCAGAGTTCAGCTGAAAGTCTTTAGACTTTATTTAGAAGCATTTTTTGTTTCTACTTATCCCACAAACTGTATCATATTTTATGCTATGTTTATGACTTACATTCAATCAGATCTTCAAATATTTGCTATCAATTTTCTCCAAATAAAGAACAGTTTTCATTAAACAAAAAAAGGTAGATATATATATAAGCCTGGTAATATCAGTAAGTACAGTTGGGTGACTCAACTAGGTAAGCAAGATTGCAATACTTTAATAGGCGATGGTCAGTCTAGGGTCTTGAGATCAACTTTCTCTTTTTCAATATTTACATGGCAAATTTCTATTTCGATATACATTAAATAATGGGAAATGTTGTCAGAATTGGCTCCTGCCAAATTACTAAGGGTTGAATTGTAAGAGCTGGTTAAGAAATGCCAAGACTGGAAAGAATT